ATTTTTTTATTTTGTATGGAAAGTAATAGGAAATAGCATCTCAGACTGATGATCTACAAACAGTGAAGTTTGTAATATTATGAGAAATAAAAGAAGCATATAGATATATTGAAAAGGTGAGAATTGATGATTATGTATTGAAGAAGAATCATTTATATAGGTAGACTATACACACGAGATGAAAAGGCAGACTGAGGAGGACGCTCCCAAAACTGCATGAAATTTTTTATTTTTAAAGTTGTGTAAAATATGTTAGATGTTCATGAGAAATAATGATGATTATAATATGAATTTTATATGAGGCATGAAATGAAATGCGCATACATGAGGTCTTCGGAGGAAAGACAATAGGTACGATGTTGTAGAAAGTACGACACAGAAAGTTGTCTTAAGAAAAGACAAATATGATGTTTCAAGATGTAGAAAGTTACTACGTCATTGTAATTATGAAGTAATGTGAAAGATAATAAAGAGAATAATAATAATATATGCAAAATCTGAGAGATGCAATTTACATGTGGTTTCTGATATATATATTTATCGATATAATTCAATATTCGTCGTTGGTACTAGCCAGGAAAGTAGTTGTTTTCGATAAATATTTCCAATAGCTGTTTATTTTCATTGAAAGGAAAAAAACTGCTATTGTTATTTTCAATTTCCTATTATTCAGTGAAATGTATATCACATGAGGTGACAATTGAATAGGCAGGTGACAAATACTGTAAGGAATCAGTAAAAAATTGTACAAAAAGATCTTATATTAAATTGGGTGTGTCATAAAGAACCAATGAATTTTGAGAGTATGCTCAAGCATAAATCAAAAAGTATGCTTCAAAGTTGAAAAGGAAAGTTTGTAAGGTATCTGCTATTTATCGTCAAATTAACTTAAATGTATATTATATGTACTCTAACCAATTAGAATAAACTGTAAAATGATTGTTAACTATGGAATGCAGTGATTTTTGTTGATTGGTTTCATTATCGAATTTATTAGTAACATAACCTAGCTATAAGAATAAAAATATATCATGAAAGAACTTACTGCCGAATTTCTCTCTTGTTTCATGTAATCGAGGCAACACCACACCCCAAGGCACTTCGAGGCAGTCACTACTTCATCACCCCTGTTACGGTTTTCCACTTCAGGACATTCAGCAGATCATACCACAGACAGCACGATGACCTAGGGAAACATGAAATTGAATCATTGTGGCTCAAATGAATGGACTATAGGAATATCGCAGTCACTAGTGCCATATTCAACCAGAAACAATTACTTACGTTGTTGCGTTACCAGTTGTTCCGAGTAGCTGATAAACATTTCCTATGTGGGCAGACATCATCCATAGACATAATAATATGTGAATAGAATTGTAATACTCAAAACAATCCAGAATCACCATCATATCGTTGAGTATGCGCATGCGTCTACGAAAAAGGGACACAAAATGGCCGTCTTTGTCGCTTCTCTGTGGTAGGTAATCTCGGCTTTTATTTTTAATTCGAATGATACCATCACTAAAAATATCTGCGTAAACGCAAGCGAGACATAAGTTGAACTACCTATTGGTGTGACACCCAAGTCAACTTGCCAAGTTTTTATGCCAGTGTTGGTGTTTTGATCAATCAACCGACAACTTGGGTGTCATACTAATAGGTGGTTCCACTTATGTCTCGCTTGAACATGGTATTTCGAATAAGCCCTGTGCTTCTTTGGGTATCGTGTCCTTGGGTATTTTTAACATAGTGGAGATTGGTTGTTGGCTGTGAATACTGTCTTTAGGTTATGTTTCTTCAGAATTCGGCTCACTTTGTCAGTGACTCCATGAATGTAGGGGAGAAAAGCTTTTGTCTGGTTGGTCTGTTCTTCCGGTAACTCTTGTACAATGTATTTCTTCAGCAAGTGTAAAATCTTAGTTTGAATAAACTTGAGAAGAAACTAAAGCAATATCTCCTGAAATACTGTTTCTATTCACCTGTAGAATTTGAACATGCCATTTTCAAAGAATTATCTTGTTTTCAATGAAATACTGGGTATTTAATATACTATACACTCGATTAAGCATATTGTGTTTTGTTTCTTTTACCACTTTGTTCATCTCTCTTGTTTCTATACTTATTCTTAAACTGTCTGTGTTGTCATTTATATAAATTTTTATACGACCTGCTACAAATATGATGACTTTATTCAATGTAGTGGAAAAATTGTATTTGACAAGTTCAATCAAAAATGGCAACAGTGGACGAATATTCTCCTCTATCCCGATGTCGATGGTCTACACGTCAAAAAGCGTGGCTGAAAAAGCGTGGATAACTTCACACAAATACATTCGAGGATCCCACTGGTGTAAGATGGTGAAAATATAGAATAATGGATTGAAATGGACCATAGGGTGCATCTATCATTCTCCAATTGCTAGTGATTCAGTATTTTTTAATGATACAACAAAAAATAAAATGTTCTGAATCACTAACATCACGTAGAAAAAAATCGTGAAAATCTGTGAGTATCCCATAAAGTACAATTTTCCCCAAGAAAGTTAGGAAAGAAATATAGTTCACAGTATATACAAACATAATCGAAATGAAGCCAACCGGAAAACTTACAAGAAATCGAGGCAACACCACACCCCAAGGCACTTCGAGGCAGTCACTACTTCATCACCCCTGTTACGGTTTTCCACTTCAGGACATTCAGCAGATCATACCACAGACAGCACGATGACCTAGGGAAACATGAAATTGAATCATTGTGGCTCAAATGAATGGACTATAGGAATATCGCAGTCACTAGTGCCATATTCAACCAGAAACAATTACTTACGTTGTTGCGTTACCAGTTGTTCCGAGTAGCTGATAAACATTTCCTATGTGGGCAGACATCATCCATAGACATAATAATATGTGAATAGAATTGTAATACTCAAAACAATCCAGAATCACCGTCATATCGTTGAGTATGCGCATGCGTCTACGAAAAAGGGACACAAAATGGCCGTCTTTGTCGCTTCTCTGTGGTAGGTAATCTCGGCTTTTACTTTTAATTCGAATGATACCATCACTAAAAATATCTGCGTAAACGCAAGCGAGACAAAAGTTGAAATACCTATTGGTGTGACACCCAAGTCAACTTGCCAAGTTTTTATGCCAGTGTTGGTGTTTTGATCAATCAACCGACAACTTGGGTGTCATACTAATAGGTGGTTCCACTTATGTCTCGCTTGAACATGGTATTTCGAATAAGCCCTGTGCTTCTTTGGGTATCGTGTCCTTGGGTATTTTTAACATAGTGGAGATTGGTTGTTGGCTGTGAATACTGTCTTTAGGTTATGTTTCTTCAGAATTCGGCTCACTTTGTCAGTGACTCCATGAATGTAGGGGAGAAAAGCTTTTGTCTGGTTGGTCTGTTCTTCCGGTAACTCTTGTACAATGTATTTCTTCAGCAAGTGTAAAATCTTAGTTTGAATAAACTTGAGAAGAAACTAAAGCAATATCTCCTGAAATACTGTTTCTATTCACCTGTAGAATTTGAACATGCCATTTTCAAAGAATTATCTTGTTTTCAATGAAATACTGGGTATTTAATATACTATACACTCGATTAAGCATATTGTGTTTTGTTTCTTTTACCACTTTGTTCATCTCTCTTGTTTCTATACTTATTCTTAAACTGTCTGTGTTGTCATTTATATAAATTTTTATACGACCTGCTACAAATATGATGACTTTATTCAATGTAGTGGAAAAATTGTATTTGACAAGTTCAATCAAAATGTACTCAGGTATGTATGGAATACTAGGATGAGGCATGATAGCAAAATCTACGTTGAAATAATTGGAAGTTACTCAAAATTGAAATAAAATTCACAAATCAAATATAAGTATTCAACGTAACCAACACATACCACAAGGCAGTCAATCAGTTTTCGAAGAATCCACATCAGGAATGGACATCTCTTTTGAATCTTCTGAATTGTTACACCTCATATCCTTTCGATATGAATTAGAAACTTTCAAAATTTCTGCTAAATTTTCAAGAGGAAAGTTTCTTGAAGATCCAATTGCTGATTGACATGTTGGACAGGTGCTAAGTTTCGACTTGCAACTGTTGCAAATTGGATGTCCAGCTTGACAAGTGAATATTGGAGAAGTCATATATTCTATGCACACTGGACATTCGAAGTTTTTCCATACATCATTATTCTGTATGGCTAATTGTGTGCTATTCATAACATCCGTGGAAACGGCAACATCTCTGACTTCTTTTCCATCAATTTTTCCACCAACGAAAATATTGATAGTATATGTGAGTTCATAGTAATAACCAAATATATTTTCAAGTACTACAGAATTAACGGAAGTATATTGTAACTTTTCATTTTCATTGCCATACAATGTCGAATACAGATGATATTTTCTTTGGCATTTTTCTGCAATGCATTCGATACAATTTATCAATTCATCATAACCTTCATTTATTTTCTGATGCTCATATAACAATGATGGAGAAAGGGGCCCATTCAATTTCAAATCATAAGTGGAGCATATATTTGGTTTCATGGAAGTAATAGAAACTTTTTGTTTACCCAAAAAGATCAAAAACGGTATTCCCTGTTCTACCAAAACTATCACCTTTCTTTTACCTTTAGTCTGAGTGGTAGTAAGTGTCCCTTCACGATAAAGCAGAATGTGTTCAGCTTTTATGTGTGAAACTAGATTTTCACTTTCAATTTGTTTCCTACAGTTATTGTTATAATAAATAGGACAAGTCATAGTCCTGTAAGCACACATTTTTTCATGCCCCTCTACCTCTCCCCATGAAATTAACTCAGTACATTTTTTATAGATACATGGAAACTTTAAAAACTTCCCAATGTTCTCGTATAGTAAACACCTATTATTTACTTCACATTTAATATCCTTGCATCTGCCACAACGGTATTTTCTTCCATCTTCAGACACATAAATAGGAGGTACAGTTACATATTTATTGCAGAGAACACATGTGATTTTCAACATTTCATCAACTACATCTTTCAGGCTATCCATCATGTTTGTCAAACCTGAAAATATTCACTATGTTGAAAAAAGATAATCTTTTGATATAATATTTATATACTGTTAATTCTGGAATTTCTTCTTTCAAAAAAATGAACAGCTTTCAATAAAAATAACATACATAACATACATAAGCTGGCTCATACATATCGAATGTACTTTCAAAACAAATTAAACATCAAAATAGGTGATGGTCTAACTAACACTTTTGAAGAATGTGAATTTGAGTTCAATTATTAAAAGAAAAATATATGAACCATAATGAAAATGTGAGTGTATGAGTATATGTACATGATTTTAAATTTTAAATTTTAATTGTGACATTTAAATTTTTAACCTAGATTAAGACTAATATTGTAACTGCATTAGCTTGTGCTAAATGAACGATACATATTATTCGATGTTTTTTATACTTTTTATTCTTACAATAAAGATATCAATAAAGTTTTCGTGTTCCTGAATTAATGAGTATTGACGATTGCATTCATATTTCATTGTACTACTTTTACCCACAAGTTTCAAGTTTAGACAAAATTCTCTATCCAAAGAAAAACAAATGAAAAATAAGTTTTTCACTGTTTGTATGTAAATGGAAGACATTTTTTTTTAGTAACTATAATAGTTTAAGCGACTCTGATGAAACAATTACATTAATAGCCAATATTTCCAAAACAACTGGAAATATCAAATATCAATTATTCATAAAATACTGAAAAAAATGAAAAAGTCCATAAATTTATTTCCTTAATATTTGCATCTAATCTGAATATCATCGTTCCGCAGGGCTTCAATCAATTTTAAGGCAAAAATGAACTTCTGGTGGACAAAAGCTAAATAAATTGATGGATGTAGCTGTTACTACGTGGTAGGAAATCATATTGAAGAAAAGAGAATTGAAACTTTCTGTTTTTTATCACTTTTATTTGTTAAAAATTTTCTATTTTACTAATCTAGTGTACTAGCTGTTGCCAACAATTTTGTGTTTGTGGTCGAAATTTACAAAAATGGTATGCTGAACATGAAAAGTCCTCCAAACTAGAAAAAAATGATTCGACGTTTTCAAACCATTCCTTGGCATGCAACCACAAGTTCCCGAATCTAAACGATACAGAAATTTTGCACTGTGCAAGGAAGAGTTACAAACTCAATTATTTAGAATCCTTGGAAACTCACAAGCATAAACATTGCGGGTGCAACCTGTTAAATGATCAAATCGATTTAGTTTGCTCACCGGTTTTTCAAATTAGCACATCCACATTGTAAATTGTAAATTCAGGTACTCCATCAAGTCAAATACTTCTATTATTACCTACAGGGGTGCTATATAAGGATTAATGTAATAAACCATTATTAGTTTAATGTTTAAGTTTGAAAATGTCCTTATAGGACGAAACTGCAGTAACGTTAGTTACAAATAAAAGTGGTAAAAAACATAGAAAGTTTCAATTCTCTTTTCTTCAAAAGCTAAATAGTTTAATATCCAGTATCTGTCGATTCATTTTATTATTTTCTCACCTTCTCAAAATGATTCATACATAGAATCATTTTGTTTTTTAATAAAGAACGCTTTTTATGTTAGTCATTTTCTATTTTACTAATCTAGTGTACTAGCTGTTGCCAACAATTTTGTTCACAAGAACAGTTTCTGGGTACTCTAAGACGTTCATTCACCCTTCAAAGCTTGATACCAAACAGTTGTTGGACTACAGTAGGGATGAACTACGATGTCTAACAGGCCTTCTCACAGATCACTGTCATTTGAATCATCATATGCAGAGACCCGGACTGTCGGAAGACCGTGTGTCTCCTCTGTTTGGAAAATGATGAAACAGCAGAGCACACACTTTGTGCTTGCCCCGCTGGGGACCGAATCAGGTTTAAAGTTTGGCAGAGCCGTACTCTTACCATCTGACCTGAAAAAATACTCACCATACAATCTAATCGGCTTCGTTAAGAAGCTGTGTTTATTTAGTCGAGTGTAAATAACCCTTGCGGGTTGCAGTGGAGGGTCGAATAGACCCACTCACTTTGGACCTAACCTAACCTAACTCCCACATTTTCTAACAGCAAAATGATCCCGTGTACTTGCCTATCGTTGCTCTGTGTTATTACTAACAATTTATATTCATCACAATTCACATTATCAGTGATAATTCAAGTTCAATAGTTGAAAACATAAAAATTTAAGTCATAGTGTAGTATAAAACCAGCAGTACTCTCAAGTATAAGATATATATGAAATATTTTGGGAATTATTTTGACTTCTTATTTCTGCATTTTAATGTAAGAGTAGGATTTCTCCCAAACAGAAAAATACATTTTTGAAAATCTAGATAACTACTTCCTAAATGCATATTGGGTTACAGAAAAGTACCTTTTTCTTATCGCCAATAATCTTTTTGATTTTGAAATTATTATAATCATATTGCAAAAAATATTTCAGTAATAATAGTAAATTGAAGAAAGAAACGATCTATTGAAGATCGAAATTTCCTAATCGATGAATATTTACTAATTTAAACAAATTCTTTACTATATTCTCTTAATAAGAAAAATCAATAAAGTTTAAAAATAACAGTGTGTATACATTTTCAATGTATTTTCATAATATATTCTGACTTACCAGTAGTATTTTATGGATGGTGAGATTTTTGGGTAAATGAATATTACCAATCTGGAAAAAGTAAAAAAAACAATATTTAGAAAAATCAATACCGAAAAATCAATTCTTATGCTTTCAAATATCAGAAAGCACTATAGAAAAAATATATCTACAAAATATCTTGTATGGGTGAAAAATCATCCAACAACTAATTGCTTCTTAACTTCCCAAACATTACTTTAATTCTTTCATCAAGTAATTATACAAAAAAATCTTAGAAGATTTGGTGTTATTTAACAATATCAACAGATAATCCAGACAAAACACGTATCGAGCGATAGAATAGAAGTTTATTTAACCACATTACACTTTACATGTTTGTAGCAAGTCGTGACAAATTTGTTACATATGCTTATGCATAGCCAAAGTAATTTCAGATCGAATGAGTATAACATATAATTTAAGATAAAAAGTAGAGCAACATAAAGATTAACATTAAAAACATGAAAGAACAACATACTATAGCATATTTACGGTAGTCAGATGAGTATATTACTTGTATGTTGAGACTTAGGAGCGATTTTTAAAATACCCCAGGTAATCAGAGACAGAGTAAAAGCAGCCCTCCAATAGTAGTTGTTAAATGGATTGTTTGAATTTATTCATACTAAGATCTTTCAGCTTGACTGGTAAACAGTTATATAAGTTGTAATCCAAAGAATTTTTTTGTGATTTAGCTAGGCAATTTCGATTTGTACAGCGTTTTTCGTACGGTACTGATGAATATTAGAACGTTTAGGTAAGGTACTCGCAATTCTGTGGATTATATGAAAATCACTTTTTGCCATTCAGTTTGTATTACAAACATTCGTTATGAATTTAAAACAGCTACCATTCATAGATACACTACACAATGTGATACATGAAAGATTATTGATATACAATGCCACTTGCATGAAATGAAATACTGGCATCCTCGACGATGTACTTTGAAGTGTCGGGACAAGACACTTGTCTTATCACCTCATCAGCACCGTTCTGAGCAACATTACAAGACGACCACTCTTTTCTTTTTTAACATTACGACTTTATCACTGAAATATTTTTAGGAGAGATCTTTTTTTTTGAGAAAAAGCTTTTTGGCTGTCTAATTCTCCGTCATTGAATACAAAACGTAGGAACTTCCAAAGAAAGGAAAAGAAAAATAACTACAATAAAAACGATTTATTAAGATATGTAGTACATGCACAGAAGTTTTTTTATATATCAATTAGAAGACAAAACCCTTTCGAAACAACTACTTTCATACGAAAATTGGATTACATGAAAAAAAAAATCGTTCGTTTCATGCCATTGTGTTGGTCTTAAATATTTTGTTTGGTACAGTGATGTGAAAAAATTTCTTTCTGAGCCCTGAAGAAGAATTTAATAAAATTAGAAACGTTGACAAGAAAACAATTGTTTTTCTAAGATAATTTCATCCTGTTACCCAAGAATCTTTTCTAGAATTAAATTATTTGGATCACTAGACTATTTATCAAATAAAATTCTTTCGAAACAACTAGTTTCATATGAACACTGAATTACATAGGTAGGTAGTATTTTTGGGTTCATTCTTTCATACCCTATACACAACTTTTCATTGAAACACTGATTAGTGAAACTATCATATTTGCCCTGTTGATTCTCAAATACATACTTTCGTTGAACCAATAGATATTGCATGTGTAGCTAATCGCTTCAATAAATACTTAAGTCAGATTGCCAAACATAAGGCTATTCGTCAGTTATTGATAAACTTATTTAATGAAAATGAGAGACTCAAATTTAAAATCAAATAGTATTTCAAAAAAATCTGATTAGAATTCTGAAACTGATCTCAGATTTTGAAAAACATATGTACTTGAAAAATACACATAGATCAACGAAATTCATTCAACTTCAAAATTTTCAACTATTGATAAACTGCTTTTTAATTTACCAGTGATATTGAATATAAACCCTGCAGAGAAAGCTCCAGAATATCTTGCAAACTCACCAAATGAACTTATATATAATCAATGGCAGGTACCTGTATAGCATAAAATACAGAGAGTTCGCATGAAAGCCTGAATGTATTTGTCATTTTACAATTGTTTCATATTTACCTTTCATTTCAAGTTTCCATTTAATTCATATATTCTTTCATTTCTTGACCTGGTTTTTGAGAGGATCATATTAATTCATAATCTGAATGAAAATGGAACAACTATTATAGTAGTGAAACGTCAACTTTAATCTAGTTTTAGACTTTTCCAAAAGCCTTTTAAAAGTAAGTCAATCATATACCATGTTACTTAAAAATAATATTGCCATAAGCATTCACAAACACAGTTAACTAACACGTATAAATCTTGAAAAATTACGATAAATTTCAGGCAAAGTAATTAATGGTCATCATTACGCACTGGTCAAAGACGAAATGGACTGGTTTAAATTTGACGATTGTCGTATCACTAAATATTCTGGCAATATCTTGAATTTATTGGATCCTTTGGAGACACTATACATTTTGTTCTATGAAAGAGAGGACATTGGCAGATCAAGATCTTCAGATGATTTGGTGCTGCAGGTTTTTCCTGCAGCTGAAAAAGCCAATGCGGCACTGGAATCAATCAAGTCGCCCCGGAGCGCCAATTCATTTTTGTTGTTGTTTGATAATTTCATAATTTGTATTACTTTCTTCGTTTATATATTGATGCTAATTAGAAATGAAAGGGACGTGGAAGAAGTTCAGTTAAATTTCAGTAAATAGGCTGCAGGAAAAAAGCTGTTATTGAAGTCATCCAAATGAAGTCATAAAAGCCACACGTTCAAAAAGTATAAAATGCAATATATTGAAAGCTCTGATGAAATGGAAACACCACACCAATGTGTGTGTAGGAATAACAAAAGTAAATGAAAATTAAGTGACGAATTTGAACAACTATTCTTGTAACTGAAAAGACTTCTTCTGCTGATATATGTAAACATACTTGTACAGAGTCCCTTTTAAACTCTCATATAATATGTAATAAAAATTTGCACCAAATATTTCATTTTCTTTTAAAAGACCAACATGAAGTTATTCATTCACCATTATTGAACTTGTTTTCATAAAATGTCAATTATTAACAAATTTACAAATCATCTGTTTTCCTAGAAGTAATATTGTATTAATTGTTCTTTTGAAATCCACCTGTTTTGCCAGAATTGATCATGTATCTAATAACATGCTAAAATTTTTCCTGGTTTATCCATGGATTACTTGTTTCAAAATATTTCCACATCAGGTTAATACAGTTTCTCATTTGCATGTTAGAAACCATTGTTGTTTTTCTTTGCAGTTCCGAAAAAGTCAAGATATTTCTTTTTCAATCTCTTTTTACAACAGTTGAACTTTTTTTGATTTTCATTTGAAAATAGGTAGTTAGGATAAAGATCAGTGTCAAAGCAATATTTTATTTGTATTAGTCATGGAATCCCTTAAAATAGGAAATTTGAATTTGAGGTCGCTCCTACCATTACTTCAAAAAGTTCATCAACTGATATTAGAAGGAGAATTAAATATTTTTATGATATCTGAGACGTGGCTTCATCATGATATTTATAATGACTTATTTAATCTAAATGCTTTTACATTATTCAGGCTAGATCGCAAAATTAGAGGTGGTGGCCATACTTTATTTTTATCAGTAAGGTACTAATCGGGGATTTACTCAACACAGGAAAGTCATACGAGCAGATACAGTTCTATAAAGACACGTGCAACTATGTTAATGGCGCAATAAAATGTGAAAAAAAGCTTACTTTAGTTATACGTTTCAAAATTTTAGTAGAAGTAGAAAAGAGAGCTGAAAATCACTAAAATACAACAAAATCATAAATATAATGTCTTCAGATACCCCTGAACATCTGAAGGATCCAGAAAAAAATTATGATTTTTTGGTGAATACTATCCTGTTTTCTGAACCTTCAGATGCACTTTCAGATTTATATAAGGAAGTGCACGATATTGGTTCTTCTCGATTGTAGCAGAACATTCGATACCTTGAATCATAAACTCATAAAAAACTCATAAACTCATTACGTGATAACACTGTCAAACTTATCGTCGATTATCTGGAAGGTGACACGTTTAGTTAGATTCTCAAGTGTCAAATAAACTGAAACTGATTAGAAGAGTACCACAAGGATCAGTTTTGGGTCCATTGCTCTTTACTATAGACTCATCACCTTGCTAAAGAAACTTGAAACCTGTAATGTGCATCTTTATGTGGAAGACACTCCAATTAGCTTGCGGAATAAAAGACTCTGATATTAGTCAGTTTATTGAACTGGCAACTCCACACTCTCTTTTCTTCAACACAGAAAAATCCAGAGTTATCATTTTCAGGTCAAAAATCAATAGGAGTGAAACCATCAATTCAGTCAAAATTCATATAAATGCAGTTACACTTGATGTTGTTGATGAAGCCAGGAACCCTGGCATGTTAAGTATTTGATTCTCATATGAGGTTTGAAAAACCTACCAACAAACTCATTCATTGAGCCTATGTCTCCCTCAAACTACTAATACCTATATGGCAATAGGCACTGCCTATTAATAGAATTGAAAAAAAAATTATGTGAGAGCTTAGTGCTAGCACAATTGAATTTTGCAAATACTTTTTATGGGCCAAATCTCATATGTCATTATAAACGAAAGATTCAGAAATTACAGAATTTTTGTTTCAGACTTATATATGGTATAAAATGAGAAACAGAATATCTTACAACCTCAAAGAAGTTGGATGGATAAATATGGAAATTAGTAAAAACTGTATGTTGCCTGTCTCTATCATAAGATTCTCTTATATAAAATCACTCGTATCTACACATAAAAGTGACTTTTCGAACCAATGTCCATAATATTAACATCAGGTTCAAAGGCTCTTCATCACATCCCATTTTCACAACCCATTTATTCAAAGGGTCTTTCAGTTACCAGATATAAAAAATATTCAATGCTATTCCTAAACTTTAAAAAAATGCCAGTCTCAATTTAAAATTAATTTAATATTATATCTTTTTCAAAATCAATAACATGATGAACAATTATCATCATGGATGAAGAATGCATTATTTGCCATTTTTTGGAGAAGAGTGAAATACCTCTTACTGCATAAGATTCAATATAAAAATACGATGCAAAGCATCATCAAATACTTTACGAAGGTCACATACATAGCAATTGCTGTGTGTCCCACTTTTTAAAACCATCATTACTATTAATAAAATGAAATTTCTGCATATACTCAACATATATTAAATTTGTATTTTTCATCTTAACTCGATGTATTTTATAAAACTACTGACATGTTTGAAACTGTGTGTTTCTGAAGACTAATTAATATTATTATTATTAACCACCCTTTTCAGAACATTCATTGTGCATGATGAATTACTGAAACTAAATTGGTTTGTATTGAACAAGTCATATTCATGAAAATACATATATCGTCTGTTCTTTAAAATGATTTCAAATATTTCATATATTCCATACTTTAAATATGTTTGTTCAATGTATGCATTAAAAATAACAGTAAGGGCTTTCATGGCAAGACATTATCATTCTGCTATAGAGCCTATAAATGTTTAAATAAATAGTTCAAGTTCTTGAGTTCAGAGATTGCAATTTCAATTTCTTGCTTCAAGACTGGTACCATGAAAAATAATCCCAAAATTTCAAGTTCAGAAGCAGTGAAAATGGAGGTAGGAATGAATTTTATGAATGAATTTGAAATAAAATCATCACAATTCTATTAGGTTTTTTTGCTAGGAAAATTGTATAAAGATCCACCCTGGTTTGGAACCTTAATATTTTAGGTTTCAAAATATGCTTTCAGCTGTTAAAGCCGCTTTATCGCTGAATGTTGGAGTAGGTTACTGCTGAATCCAGTGACAGCATAAATTTAAAGAAATTTGAAAAAATTGCTTTTTTTGTCCCATTCAATAGAGCATATTCTTTTTTGTTCTGAACACACCCATTATTGAAAATTTACCAAGAATATCTAATTTAAAAAAATATATAAGTATTGAACAGTCTATGTACCTCGCTGATAATGTAGCTTTCAATAGATGTAGGTGAAGGAATTTTGAAATTCTTTCCAGTAGTTTTTGAATTACAAATATACTACAACATTCAAAAAATCAAATGTTTTCTCTTTATATTATTATAGATTGTTGTAGTTGATTGAACTATATTTTTCATGTTCATCAAGGTGATTGATCAATACACTGATGTGGTGGTTTAGGGGTATCAACTATTAACACAGATAATTATGTACCCCTTAGATTAAAAACCAATACTTCAGTCTAGACTAGTCTAGAGCAAGAAAATTTTGTCATATAATTGGGCATGTTAAATTTTGGGTATAAATGCTGCAGCCTTTACATATTCCAAGGACCCATTAAAGGTATTAGAGAATAAATAAACAATGAAGAGGCACCTACCTCCTTATTAGAATATTTGAAAGTTCAATTTCACGGATAAAATGTTTTCTACTCATACTATCGAAACACAATAATTAGTGCTTTTTACCATTACTCGTCTACGTTCAGAACAATTCGTCGGAATAAGTTAAGCAGCAACAAGTTTTTTAACAAAAATAAACAAGATCTGTGAACTACATGCTTGACACAATGGAATTTTTCTTCTTCTCTTCTTTAGCTTGGCCACAGTTAAATAAAGTTCGTCCACTTATAGATGTGTCACAGAAAATATGATGATCGGATCACAGAAGGCCGACGAAGTGCTTTAGAAAGCGCTGAAAACACCAATGATTAAACCATCGTATCTATCGATGAATTCAAGAACTATTCTTTTATTCCACTGAATTTCTTCATTCTGTTTAAATTCTGTTTTTCCGTAAACCAACTGTCGTACCCCTACGAATGACAACCCTCAGATGTCAAAACTTGTGCGAGCTAAGGATTTTAACGAGGTCTTACCTTTTATTGTGTGATTCCTAACACGGGTTGGAAGATAGATTAGGGCTTGAACCTCCGACTACATTCAATTTGAGTGAGTGAAAAAAGCATCCACGTCGAACCGCCTGGCTGCCGACCGATGAATATTTTTTTTTCATTTATAAAATCGCAGCAGCCCCATTTTTGATTTGCGCATCGCGCAAATTAAAAATGGGGCTGCCGCCGTTGCTGCATCGTCTTTGAGAATGTTTGCCGCAGTAGCAGAAGAAACGTCAGGTATATAAACCTGCAGACCACGGTTGATGAACCCGGAAACATATAAAACTCCACTCAAAATAAGTAGAGATGAATAAAACTCAAGAGATTACTTAAAATGTGTGTTAATTTCTGAAGTCTCAATCTGCCAGGTCTCGTTGCTGGTTTCTGCAAGGCTCTCAATCTGCCTACTCTTAAGCGTCGACTGTGGGACTGCACACTGCAGGCTCTATTCTGATATTTATGTCATTATGTCCCTGGAAGAGTAGAGCGGCGAACCAGTGATGGGAGCAAAGATGGAGTTGGTAGTGGGAATGGAAGTATGATTTGAATAAGTGAGGTGTGCAATGTTGTGAGATGTACGGCGTGACAGTAATGATTTCCATGGAAGAGGTAATTTTTGTTAATTATCTTGTTTGTTGAGGCAGTTGGGAAGTTTTTCAGTTGCAATAACTTTAAGGATTATCGATAAAAAATCGGTGATTTTTTCGGTGGCAATGGTTTTGATGTTTTCAAGGCTTATTATGTGGTCTGTTTCACGATGGTGTTTGAATATGAATGAAGTTGGATCTGATTAATGAAGTTAATATTCATGAACTCTTGCGGAAACTCTTTTGTTAGTTTGGCCGATGTAAGTTCTGGAGCAGGTGAAACATGGTATTTCGTTTAATTGGGTATCGTGCCCTTAGGTGTTCATAGAAAAGTAGAAATTTGATTGTTGGCTGTTCTGATATCGTGCCTCTTCAGAATTCAGCTCACTTTGTCGGCAACTCCATAAATATAAGGAAAAAAGCTTTTGGATGTTCTTTGATCTGCTTGGGATATGGGGTATGGGTTCATTAAAGTTTGATATGTCTTTGGATTTGAGATTGGGGATGATCGTTTTGGCGAAAGACAGATTTGAATTCGTCTAGTTTCTTGGATCTATTACAGCTACCACTGAGTCTGATAGACCTGTGTATCAGATAATTTATAACGGAATTCAATTGAACATGGTGATGAAGGGACTCACCCTTGAAGTAGTGGTTATAATGGGTTGGTTTTCGGTAAACAGTGTATGCGAAAGAATTATTGGAGTTTGTGATTATAACTTCTAGGAATGGAAGTGAATTGTTATTTTTGACTTTCATTTGGAATAGAAGATCGAAATGTAATGAATTGATGTATATGGTTTAGGAATGAATGAAGATTTTCAAATCCATGAGGTCATATAATAAAAACGTCATCTACGTATCTAAGCCAACACGTAGGTTTGAGGTCAGACATGTCAATGGCCCTGGTTTCAAAGTCTACCATGTAAGGGTTTGCAAGGACCGAAGAGAGTGGGGAATCCATTGGGGCGCCTTTTACCTTTTTGAAAATTTTCCTCTAAAAAGGAAATGGGTGCTTGGCATGTAGTAGATGAAATGGTTGAGAGTGTCTTGGGGAATTTGTTTCGTTTCGAATAAGGTTTTGGATAGTGAGATATTCGTGACGGCGGATATTACGTCAAAGCTGACAAGGATGTCTGTTGCATATTGGTGGATTTCGGTGAAGTGACAGAATTGTTGGACATATGATGAGGATTGTTTGGCTAATGGTTGGAGACTATCAGCAAGATGTTAAATATATGTATATATGTACAGAATATTTTCCCCCAGAAGAATTTTTAACTGAATGTGTAATTTCTCGAATTTCATCCGGGAATTCATTGTAGACTGTGGGAGACTTTCAGCTACTCAGTCTGCCAACCTATAGAATGCTATCATTTCTGGGCAATTCATTGAAATCAGGTTGTCTTAATAATAATATATGTTATTTATTTAAGATCCAAATACGAATACAAATGAGAAGTACAAATTGAAAGTTCAAATAAATAACGAGATGCTCGATAAGTAAGTGAATATTTGTTTGAAGATACAAATTTGGTGTGAATGGGCATATACATACATACATTGAAATAGTTAAACAATTCAGTAAGCGTTAAGCTATTTTTATATCAACTGCTGAACATTAGAATCCCCAATGTAAGGATTGAAGAAAAAGGTTTTAACAAAACTGCAGGTACATTCATACACACAGACTAACATAAGGAATTATTGAGCAGTAAATCATGAAATTTCAGTGTAGATATTCATGTATGAGCACATACATTATCTGACATATAGTTGCTTATGATATACAGGGTGATATTCAAATTCGTTTCTGTACATGGGGATCTCGTAAACGATAAGAGATAGAGTATGACACCCTGTATAAAAAATTTATGGACATAGTCTGATAGCCTACATCAAGTGCCTAGAGCAAACTGTGGACAAATTTTCAATATGTCTGCGAATAAAGAAGATATAGGCAAACAAATAATTTGGGATTTTTTTGTTTTTCCTGTATATCTCCAGAACCAAAAGGGCTATATTCGATTTTTTACATCATTGAATAGATGTCTAAAATACGCAACTTTGCCACAATTTAACCGACAGTCTCTTATCGTTTACGAGATCCCCATGAACAGAAACGAATTTGAATAGCCCTGTATATTCGAAACATGAATAGACTTGAAACTTAGGACAAACGTCTCAAGACTTCTTTCTGCATATTTCCACCCTGAAGACATGTGGTACATATATGTATGTGTGACATATATGTATATGTGAGACTCGCCAATTGTAACATTAGAATACCAAAAACTCAACCAAACGTAATTATTTCACTTGAAATGCCTAAAAACTACTGAATGCACAGAAACCTGTTCATCAAAAACCCAAATCAAAATGAACGAATAAATGGTCTGTTCATCAAATTATATATTTTAAAATAAATTATCCATCTATGGGAAACTATATCTATCGTCGGACGCGCTATTTTCCTCTAATGACATCATAAATTTGACGGCCAAAATCCATAAACAGAATGTCCCTTTATCATTGTCTAAAGGCATTTTCTAAGATCCTTAGACAATGCCTCTATATAAGAACCCTGCCCTTTCTCAAACAAATCCGACAGTCCCTAAGTCAAGAAAGTTTACTTACTATACATTAATTAATATGGAACACATGCTTTTGTTTATTGATTTGGAGTTCACTGTGTTTAGAGTTGTTTAATTGAGGAATCTTGAGGTCGGCATATTTTGATGCGATTAATTATTATAGACGAGAGAAAATGATGCATGAGTAAAATGAACTACTTTCGCAAAGGTGAACCACAAGTGAGTTGTAAACGAGAGCGTTAAGTTTCCTATAGCTTCAACAAATTCTATCTAGATTTCTGAAAAATAATAAATATAGATTGATGGATGTAGCCGTTACCACGTGTTAGGAGATCATGATTTACCACTTATATTTGTAACTAACGTTACTGCAGTTTCGTCATATAAAAACATTTTCAAAACTGTATTGTATTAGGTGGTTGTACAATCTCCAGATTCATGTTACTAAAACCTACGTTCAATCATGTGTGAACATTATTTGCGTCGAATGTTATCATACTGGTCATTTGCTATTTTTGCTCGAGGTATTCTGATCGAGCAAAGAAAACAAAAACGTTTTAGCGGGAATGTAAGATCTGGAATGAGATTAGATCCAACAAAATACGCCATATGTATGACAAGAGTTTCGATAAGGAATATTAGGAGTACAAACTGAGTAAGTACAAGTGATTTTCATGTAATTTAATATTCATAATCGAAAGTAGTTATTTCAGATGGATTTTTTCTCTTTGGATTTATATTTGAAAAGTAAATTCAGGTAACGAACTACATATCTTTGATATATCTTCTACAACATATCTTTTTTTATTGTTTCGATTATTTACTTTCTTTAGAGGTTCCTTAGTTTTTTATTCATTTATGGCAGAATAGAAAGCCAAAAATGTTTTTGCATCATCATGGTTAATAGTAGTTTCATCAGCACTTAAGTTCCAACTGAATGAATCCTTGACGAAAAAATATCGTTGATTGCGGATTTGAACTCACGGCACCTGGGTCCAGAACCGGCACACCACCTATGATCAATTCCGAAGAAAAAACTAAGTGAAGCTGTTTTAAAGAATGAATCTGATTGTCAAATTTGACATATTATGATCCTTCAAAGTAATGATACTACATTTATGTTACGCTAGTTTTATCCATAATTACGACCGATTTCGATGAGAAGTACTTGTAGAAAAATTTCTAAGGATGAGCAAAAGCGGCTCTCGAAAATTAACCGTCGACTGGACCAAAGAAATACATAGTAAGGATGTTTCATTCGCCAAACTTCGACAACGGGGTGATGTAGAACTACGTATTCATCACGGGTACATTCAAATTGACAAACCTCTGGAAAAATATGTTACTGGAAGCTCTTACGAAGGACGACATGATTCCTTGGGATTTGCTGGTTTCGGTACGTATAAATATCCCCACGGAGCAGTGTACCAGGGCTACTTCAAAGACGGTCAGTTTCATGGAGATGGGACCATTACGTACCCCAAAGGACAAGAGCTGGACGGAACGTGGCTAAACGGAAAGTGAGTTTTTAGAGTTTTTCGATTGTTTGAATGATTCATTATTGAAGTAAAATAGAAGCTGCGTTGGGCATCTTAAACGGTGGTTCGCAGCAATTAATTGCGACTTCCTAGTTGGTAGATTATTTAATGAGGCCCTTATGCTTTGTTTTTATTATCGATTTGTGCTCAAATTGAAGGGAAAATAGATATTAAATTGAATTCCTTTTTCAATTGAAAATTTATGGTTTCATTCATTCCGTTAGAATGCAAATATTCGACTTTGAATTTCAGATTAATGAATATCATTCATGATTGTAATAGACAAACAAAACAACTACTAGTTGAATCATATCGCTCAAAATTTTGTGGAAAAATCAATACTTTATCTAAGCGGTAAAATTCAGGGCAAGTCAGAGTAAGACCGAGAAACTCCGTCTACAGATTCCTCACCTCATTTTGAGATGAAAAGTTTGTATCAAGGTATGTCCTAAAATGCATCCCCTCTGAGATACAGGGTGTCAAAAGTACGAAAAAATTTGTTTTTTTTTTCTCTGCTGGGCATCCAACTGAATCAACTGCAGAATGAGTGCATGACTAGCTGGAATTATATTTGTTTGGTCGTCATACTCAGACGGTTCTCACCGTTCTGAAGAGACACAATTTTGTCATTCCAGGTTAGCTTCCCAAATTTCTGCTACCGTAGTTGTTGGTTGATTGGTCAAACCACCAACAATGACATAAAAACTTGGCAACTTGACTTGGGTGTCATACCAATAGGTGGTTCCATTTATGTCTCGCTTGCGTTTACACGGTTATTATTTTTATTAAGTACTTTTCTTGGTTATTCACATTCTGTCTTCAATCGAGTATGATATTTATAAACATATATACAATATTTCTAATATTTCTTGCAGGTTGTTAAGTTTCGTGTATCGGTTTGCAGATGGTTTGGAATATCACAGTCAGTGGAATTACTGCCAGCAACCTGACAGGACTTTTCAAATCGAGTGTTACCAAGGTCTACAGCCACCACAAAAAGAATTCCTCACGAATTCACGATTTTATCAAGATATACCAGAAAATTGTTATGATACCGGCGATGGTTATTATGAACCTCAAAACAAATTAATTTACAATTTTAAACACAGAGCGATGAGGGTTTGCCGTCCACATGAAGAAAAAATAATTAGAAAACATTTCAGGTATAGTTAGCTCGCTGACATAAACTTTGAAAATCGTCGTACAGCCTTGAACCACAGCTTACTATAGTAAGTAAGCTGTGCTTGAACTGACAAGCAGAATAACAAACCGAACAAAACGGTGATTTTTTTCATTTCGATCATCTGTACAACAAACGAACATTCATGCTGTTTCCACAAATGTTCTTAGTAATTAATTTCAGTTTAAACTGGAAACAATTAATCAATTTTGGGAAATATCCTTTCAGGCATCTTGCTTTTCAATCTTATCGAAGTGTTGTCGATATTTTGATTTCCACAACAATGTTTTTATTATAGATGTCAATTAGTTCAAAACGTTTCAGCAGTTCAGTTCGTTGTTCTGTTTATAGTTTGGATAATGCTCAAGTCTGTAGGTACCCGGCTAAATAATAATTTTTCTCTAGGTATACAGAACACTGAAATTTTCATGCCTGTATTTTCATTTCTGAATTGGCTTCTTGGTTATTACGATTATTTCAAATCGTCCTTCTCGCATAATATACTCCGTTTTCTTATAGTAAAAAGTCGGCTGTAACAGTAAAGAGTCGGTCCTCTTCACCAATATGTCTAAGAATGGCAATTCGTTGTGGACTTCCTTATCTATTGTGAAGGTGACTTCGAATCATATTAAAATCATATTAGAAATTGAAAATCGGAACCAGTAAAAAAATTGTGTTATGAAATATTGTCGTTAAATTTGACAAAGCTTGCCATTCAACTAGGCATCATAGGTTTTGCAATAAAATTTTGATTTCAGACAAATAGCAGACGAACCTGTTGGGTTCCGTAAAGATTTATATGAGTACTGGGCATCTGGGAGGAGACGTGAAATCGAGAAAATTACGAGAAGGATGGAAAAGAATCATTTATCAAAAAATTCTCAAAAATGAAAATTCATTCACTTCGTTTTACTTTTTTCGACACTGACTACTCTGTAAAGTGTTAATGCCATTAGTATTTTATTGTATATTAGTTTGTAATGGAGTTGGATCATAAAGCGCTATTGTTCAAATATAAGTGTGTATTTTCTGGATAAAAATGGCTTTATACGTGAAATTACTGCACAACACCTACCTGATCTATTATCAGGTAAAATGTTACCATCTTATATATATCTCCTCAGTGGTCAGACAGATTAAACTACGAACAAAATGAATTTTATAAGCTGAATAGCTGAAATATAATCGATATTTCAGCTATTCATTCTAATCCATATGTTCTTTCATAGATTTAAAATCATAGTAGAATAATATTAGACAATAGGAGTCCAAACTTATAGAATTCATCATGAAACATCATCAACCACTTTAATAAAAACAAAACATTACTGATACAATAACAGACGGTGTAGTGGTTTTAGTCTGAACCACCAATATATTGCTGGTCTCAACTATCCTCAAAGGACAAGCCGGAGAAAGTGAAGACATCCCTTATTATATCTACGGTATTGTAGACGGTATATATATCACAGCCAACTAGCTTAATTGACGGTTCAATCAATAGCCTAGCATCTTTTTAGTTTCTTACAATATTTAATAAATTGGCTGGCTAATGCTTAGGCCATTTGTTCAACGTGACCATGAAACAAAAATAAAGAAGAAGAAATATCTGACAAGAAATTTTTTGTTCAATATTTTTTTTTAAATGTAACAGGTTACTGTAGGGGATAAATAGCTTTTCCTAAATTTAATTTTTGTGGTCGGGAGTTCAGGAGATATAAGTATACATAAATTTACAAATTGGAATATACGAAATTACGATCGTATTTATGTTCGGAGGTCGTCACAGGTTAGAATTTGAGGATAAATACGTTTTAACAAATTAAATAAACCAGTCATTTGCCTAGCTGTTTGATCAAATGGCTGAGTATCATTCAGGTCGCTAGTTGAACGGCGCTGTTTAGTAAAGAGGCTAGACTGTTGATTGAACGGCTCATTAAGCTAGTTGGCTGCGACGTAAACATACAGATAATCTAGACAGTGAAGTAAGCATAAATATTCTATGATCTATCTTGTCAGGAATATTCCTGAATTCCATAAGGATATCGGTGAAATATTTATTGAATGATAATCATATTTTACATATGAACACACACATACATCATAACCACCAACTTTTATCAGTTCAGTGATATTTTGAATTAATAAACATATATTGGGATAGTTTAGTACAAAATGAGGAGAAATGAGGGAGATGTGATCACGAGAATTCAAATTGAAGAAAACTCAAAATTTTTCAGAAGAAAAAATAACAACACTTGCTTCCACAAGGCTTCCACAGAGAAAAATCATTCCAAAATGAAATCGCTAGTAGAATTCGAGAAAGTATGTTTCCCTTGTCTTATTTCATGCAATTCAAGTTTCATAACAACATCGTTGGCAAGTATCAATCCCTACATTATAAATTTTTTGTTCAGCATCCACGTTTTGTTCTATGTACTATGTGCCTAATATGTGAATTTCTGGTTCTGACAAGGAATCTGGAAAACTACAAAATAATTGACCGCAATACTCTCTATTGCAATTTGCTGACAATCTTGTGATGTTCCTGGATTTTCAACTTCATCTTCCCTTTTTTTTTAATGATTGCTCTTTCTATTGTGTCTAATATACTCCAGTTGATTGGTTGATATTGAGATTCTCGAATATTCAAGGTGTGGGGTTCCAACCTTGATGACCGTAGCAACCACCCTTATGTGGCATCAATACATCAGCTATACCTGGTGAAATATACTAGTGGGTAACATTTGCCCAATTGACTTTCCACAAAACATGATTGAGGTGACACATTTTGAAAAATTCTTGATCCTTTCAGGATATTTTACCCAAAATATCGTAGTTGAATATGTTCGTCTTGAGTAGTTTCTTTCAGTTACAAAGAATTCCTCCACCATTTTTGCTGAAATGGCAGATATGTTTTTTTTATTTTGGCAATTCCTCAAAATTAAAAATCTCGACCCCCATTATTTAGATGGGTTATTATTTTTGAACTGTGAAATGGTTTTGCAGCCTTCGATAAATAATTAAAGATACATATTCTCGTGTCTCTTAAATATAACGGAAAATCCCATTTTCCCAGGGTCTGAAAGTTTCTAACAACTCAGAAACTGATGCGAGCTAACCCTAATTATGCTATAAAGGTAACCCATACAGGTAAACCATCCAGGCGTACCAACCATACAGGTATACCAACATAAATACAAGAATTGGAGGAGAGGGAGCTAGATTGTTTTGGAAAGAAATCAGTGCTCCGGAAGAGACTATGGGATAACTTGATCGAATCAGGAGAAGATCCCGAAACATATTTATTCGAAGTTTCTGGGGGTGATTTGAGTTCAATAATGAGCAAACTCGATGAGAACACCAAATCGCTGAAGGATGAACTTCAACAAAATTCGAAGTGCCTGGAAGACAAGCTACGCGAAAATTCGGTGAGTTTAAAAGATGAACTTCAACAAAATTCCAAGTGTCTGAAGGAGAATCTTTTGGAAAATTCGAAGAGTTTGGAGGACAAACTTCTAGAAAATGCAGAGGCTTGAAGAAAGAACTTTGTTATGTGGCGAGTCTACTCGAAGAAAGGATGGGAACCATCGAGACAGAGATAGATAAAATCAGGAAGGAAATGAACACAGAAGTAGCGGAAATCAAAGGCGGAGTTCAGGCAGAAATCAGCAAGATGTAAGAAAGAATTACCAATTTGCAAAATCAAATCGTTAACTCTGCCCACCCACAGAAACGGTTAACGAAAACTCCATTCCGGAACTGAAAGATGTCAAAGTCAGTCCTGAACCAGGAAAACTCTCCATGAAGCCGCCCCAGTTAGACGGAAAAACTCCTTGGGCAAATTACCGCCGACAATTTGAAGCTGCGGCCAGAGCGAATGGATGGAATGCAGGAGAAAAGGCGGTAGCATTAACATTGGCATTGCGTGGAGAAGCAACGAATATTCTGCAAACCCTCACGGCCCAGGAACAGGAAGACTATGACCAACTTGTAAAGCATCTTGAGCTGCGGTATGGACAGGCACACCTAGAGTACGTTTACCATTCACAGCTGAAGAACCGCTGTCAGAAATCAGGAGAATCCATACAGGAGTTTAAAGCCGACATTGCTCGATTGGTTCGTCTGGCATATCCTGCTACACCGTAGCAAATGTCCAGCTTTCAAAAGAATCGACACCAAATCAGGAAAACTAGAGGGGGTTGATGAGAAGGGGCAATTGTCGTCCTGTACCCAGCAAGCCCTCGTAAAAAACGCATATGTTGCCGTTCTCCAACGACAAGACAAAGGTGTTTTCGTAGAGGGCCTCATCAACACCATGCTGCTAGATACAGGTGCGACGAGAACCATTATTGGGCCAACCTTTGCCAAAACACCGGCAAGAATTGAACCGTCAAGCTAGAAGCTAGGCACTGCTACAGGGGAGCCAGCCACTGTACTTGGAGAACTACCAATTGAATTGGTGTTGGGCAGCACTAAATTGAAACATCGTGCATTGGTGGCGGACATAGAGGATGACGCGATCATTGGAATGGACATAATGAACTCCAGAGGGTTCAAGCTGAATTTTCATGACGGCGTCCTACGTCTTGGCGGAGAAGAGCTGGTGCTTCATGGAAGAAGCGAAGAGAGGATCAGGGTCCTGTTGACTGAAGACGTGTGCGTATCTGAAAGGGCTGAAACTATCCTGGAGGCTTGCTTGGACGGAAGTGCGAGCAGCGGCAAGGTGGTAATGTTCGAGCCCAAGATATACGATGAGAAAATTGGACGAGGAATCACCAGAACAAGACACTGCGGGGGAAGACTATGTCAGCAAGCTTCGGCAGAGAATGGACGACATCCATGAACGAGTCCGTCTGAACATCCGGAGTGCCAGCGATAGGATGAAAAAGGCCTATGACATCAAGGCGAATGCTGGAGAATTCGAAACCGGTGATCTAGTTTGGCTGTACAACTCTAAGCGACGCCGTGGTTTATCACCGAAGTTGCGGAACTCGTGGGAAGGTCCGTACAAAATCATGAAAAAGATTAATGACCTCTTCTACTGAATCCATAAGCTACCTCGAGGAAAGCCTAGGGTCGTCCATTTTAATAGATTGGCTCCTTATGCTGGCAATCACGACCAAGTTCGCCCCCTCAGACCACCAGAGGATGAAATGACGTTCCAGAAATTCATGTCTTTATACTCGAACGGACAGAAGGTTGTACATGGGGTAACTCGAGAAGAGCCACGAGACCTTTTCAAGATTCCAGTTGATTACGCACTAGCTCACTGCGTGGCAGATGATCTCCAAATGTCCAAGGGTATCGCTGTGGTATTCAACAAGAAATTCGGTCAGCTCCAAACATTACGAGAACAGAGTCCTGAAGTTGGAGGAGTGCTACAGTTGAAGAAGGGTCCGAGAAACGTTTTCTGCTTGATGACCAGAAAGCGTTCTTGAGACCAATCGTCATATGAAGTTTTCAAGAGGAGCCTTACCAGACTGAGAGACACGATGCTCGGCCAGAATCTCGTGGACTTGGCAATCCCGAAATTAGCCTCTGGGCTCGACAGGCTGGACTGGAGAATTGTGAGAAGCATGTTGGAAACGATCTTCAGATCCAGCGGCATCAAGATTTTGGTGTGCAGTAACCATCTTCCACGATCGAGCATGAAGAAAAAAACCAAAAAAAAAATGGAAAACTCACATTTTTGCTCAATTTCATTTCTACAATTTTTCTTCATACAGGTATTAGTGTTGCTGCACAAAGAAGGAAACTAACATTAAGCTCGTTAAAATATTCTTTGTAGAATAATTTTTTGATGAAATTTAGTGTATGGTACGATTTATTCAAGTTTATTTACTTTCAATTGAAATTTTACCGACTCTTCATATATTTTCAATATGTAGAATTTATATTAATTGATTGAAAAGTAGTTTCATATTGCATGTAAAATATGGTATCAGTTCTGTAGTTCCAAAAAAACATTACTCGTTTATATATAGAGTCTATAACCTACCGAAAAAAAACAAATAAATATTCGAAAATACAGTCTACTGCATAAAATTCCTGCTTGAACGGATACGAATGCAATTTCTGTAAAAAATGTGCTGGAAAGAAATAGAAAGAGTGCTTGTGATAAAAAAGTCTCCAATGAGCATATTGACCTAGTTGAAGTTATTGCTAATTTCTTTGTATTGCCCGTAATATTTCAAAATTGAAAAAACTTTTTGAACTTTGGTAATGTTCGTTCATATAGTAATTTGAATTCTATAATAGTTTCAAATCTTCACGAAAATCTTGATATATTGCATGAGTTTTATTCATAGACACAACTTCCTCTTGAGTCACTTTCACTTTTCATTCAGATACCATAGAAATATAGTGATAAAAATGTATTCATTAAAATTCCTTTTTCTCCATTGCCTATGGTCAACAGCCATTATGAGTATTCTTGCAAACGTATGAGAACACCAATTCCAAAATCAAAGATCATCTTGAAATTATATACATTATTTACAAAATTACATGATGACAAAGTACATTTTTTCAATATGGAGTTTTGAAAGCGACAAATCCATTAATCGAAATTGGGATCTATTAAAAAGATTTCTCAAAAGTATTCAGAAAAAATATACTCCATCCTACAGAGTTTAGCTTGCATTCCAGGACCACAAGGATATTGATTCATAATAAAATTGCCGATCTACACTATAAGAATTATCTAACTACTAAAACGTGAAAAAGAATCAGGAACAATGATACAATAAATACAAGAGAAAACAAATCAGTATATACACATTTATTCTGACTTACAGAAGTAAAGTTAAATAAGAATTTCATTGCCACAACCTGCATTAATAAAAAACAAATCAAAATATTAAATAATATCACACTATTCTTTAACACTTTTCATTTGTGTCACCAGGTGTTTTTTCATCACGAGATCTATCACTTTTTATAAAAAAGTTCTTTATCAAAGTCTCTATTGTCTATTGTAAGTATTTAGGGTTCTTGATGAGCTAGCATGTATGTTTCAATCGATTTTGGAATTCATTTAAATTTTCTAAAATCAATAAAAATAAACTATTGATAGGGAGAATTCACGAAATTTTATATTTATTCGAAACTGTTCAGTGTGAAATACTACCAAAGAACTGTAAAAAATGAATGATAGGGCATGATTAATCAAAAAAAGGATAAGAAAAAACACCAATCATTGATTGAAACATACTACAATTGAACTACACAGAATGATACAAAAGATATTGTAAAACATTCAGCTAGCAGTTGAATAAAAAATTTGAATTCTTTTCTAAAACTAAAATTGCACAAAATAAAAAAATATATTTAGACTGCTGCTCAAGCTACAATATGATTCGTATAAAAAATGTTTCATATATTATTCAAGCTAAAGGATACTTTCTGAGCTAAAGCGCCTTACGATTCAATAAAAGAAGTGGAAATCATGCTTGAGCAACTCTGTCAAAGAGTATGAATCAACAGATTTTTTCAAACAGTAGCTACTAGCTACAGATGTAGTTAAACGATGTCACGTCGCTGCCCTCCAACATACCGCCAATAAACGTAGCGATCTAACTTGAGTATCCTGATGCTAGGTCTTTAATATGGCATTTGTATCAAGAGTATTAAGCTGAAGATTGATTTAGTTACGTCGACATTAGGTTGAAGTTTATACAAGTGACGAGGTTAGAAACGATTGTGAACAAGTGAAATAAGTGAAATAATTTTAAAGTGTTAGGTACAACCTGTCATAATTGAGTTATTGATCAAAATTATTCAATTTCACTAGTGGTTTCACTTATTATGTAATAAACTATATAAACCTAACATGTAATATTATTAGCAGTAAAGCAAACAATGACATCAATTATATAAATGAGAAGTGAATATGATGTTGACAATTACAGTTTTAAGATGAAAAAGATTCAATTGAATTACATTTTCAAATAGATATCTATATGTGGTGGCATTATTCAAAGAAAAAACTCAACAGAATATAGAATAATCTTTCAATATAATTTTTGTTTTATTGAAAAAAAAAAATGAAAAAGTAAGTTTCTTATGAAAATATAAATAATTTGTTGCTTGCAATGAAATAGCATATATTCAGTACCAAAAATATATAATTGTTGTTACTCATTACCTACTATTGCTTCCAATGTGAAATCTATATATTTTAGTCTTGAATAAACTCTACAAGGGAAATAAGGTAATGAACTAATATTACATTGTTTCATGAAATTTATAATCATTATTACTGTTCGAGTAAGGAACGTTTTGTACATGGGAACATTTGTTTGCAATATTCTGATTGATATTTTTCCATTTTTATACCAGTTCAACGATAGTCTTTTCCCGTGATATGTAATATATGCATAGGATAGACATTCTTCTGAATGAATTTCAAAATCAAGAATAAGTTCTAATAATGAAAACTTTTCTTTCTTCAGCATTCTGCAAAGTTCCAGTGAATTCCACTCGAAGATTTTTCTCGTGAGATTAGTTCGGGGTCAATTTAATATTTCACTCTGATCTTGTGTAATTCTGTAAGTCATCAACAATGAGAAAAAAATCTTAACTGGAATCACAAATTTCCAAAGTTACCAATAGTCATGCCGACCCAATACAGAGCTATTCTACCCTTCGGCTCTTTTAATACCATCTTCATGATTTTGTGTAAGGCGCCCTAGCTCTATCTAAAAACTCAAGAACCCCTCGCCATTATATAAGTGAAATTAACACTGGCTCTCTCAAACAAGAACAGTAAGCACGTCCGCACTAGCACTCTGTTGTTGTGAAGTCCTCTGCTTATTGATATTTATAATACTTTTACTAAAGTCCTTGTGTCCCGAAGAGTCGTCAAATGCTGCGGTGTTTTTTCGAACGTCCGGATTCTGCGCCTTGTACAGCATTATCTGGCTGTTTCTGTGGGCGCTGTTGAGTCCATCAGCGATTTTCACCCCTTCGTTGAGCTTCAGCGTGTTCTCCGAGGAGCTGGTGCCTGGTAGAACCAGCATTGTCTTGCGCGATCCCGGACAATCCACCTCGGAGATCATTTCGAGCATTTCGCTGGAGCTGTCGTGAGGAATCATGCTCGACATGGGGCGCACCACACTCACTCTGGGCATGTCGATGGCGGAGTTTATGCTCGCCATGCTGCTACCGATGTCATCTTTGAGGGGATTTGCGTACCGCCTTAGATTCTCTTCGTTTTGAAGGTTGTTGGATTTCTCGTCCTCGTGGTTCCTGTGGCAAGTTTCGGTGGAGGGAGAAAGGTTCATGCCACTTTGTCCAAGGTTCCTTCTGCGCTGTTTCAGGTATAAAAAGCCGACGACTCCCGCCGCGCAGATTCCGATCACGATGAAGCATACGAGGGCTATAAGGTATTTGTTGCTCTGCTGCTCTTCAGATAGAAGGGCGGTTTCCACTTTGACTTCGACAATTGAGGTTAGAGCTAGGAAAGAAGTTTGCTTTCGAGAAATCGCTTCTCCGACGACTCGTATGCCGTCAAGGACCCAACGGTCGCCGGACTGAAATAAAAACAGGTTTGTTTTGAGTTGATGAAGGTCCAATAGATTGAAATATGGTTAATGACTCGAAAAAAAATATATGATGAGAGTTTCGAGGTCATCATTGGAACAAATGACTTTGTTTCAATTGTTTTCGTTAAAAATTATGACAGCAAATGGCACAAATGACGATAACTTATAACTTTCATGATGGTCTCAACTCGGTAGTATGTTCTTTGATTTTCGAGTGTATCCTATCATTTATCTACCAATAGTTTTCAATTATTTTGTTGTTTATAACTTATGAGTTCCGCAAATAATAATGTTTTCACTCTCAAATTTGTAAATTTAATAGAATGTATGTGAATGAGTGATAACATTTGTTCTAAAATGAATTTTTGAATAACCAGTCACATATTTCCCCATGTTTATCTTGAATCCCAACGAACTGGTTGAGTTTGAGGGGATATATGAAAAGCAATACAAATTAAAATTTACTCATGTGTGAAAATATACGATTTTCCATACTGGCTTAAGAAGTATTCTTTTTTTCAAACGACTGACTGATGGTCCGTATTTATTTCTACCGACATCTCTAAACCTCTCCATATAATTCATCTGATGAATAACTAGTGCACATAATAAACTCACCAGAGTGACTTCAACTGTATCATTATATCCGGTTTTCAAATCGCACAAGAGAACCAACGAATCCTGTAGCCCCTCGACAGCCTGTTGGTTCGCTAGCAGCCTCCTCAAATCTCCGCAAAGCCCCTCAACCGTTATCCCTTGCGGCAGCTTAACCCTATCCAGTAGCAAGGTTAGTCTCGCGCAACTATTACTGAGCAACGCCTGGTTCGGCCAACAGGTACTTGGTGTGGGCAGGGAGGGAGGCTTGACTCTCCGCCCGCTTTCCAAATCCCTGCATTCTCCGTAAGGCAAACAAGGGGGTGCGAGGCACGATTCGAGGGACGAAGGTACACACACTTGGCTCAGGGTGCACATGGTGTTTTGCTGATTGGATGTGCGGCAGTTCCCGAGGCCGCACCACACTCTGGTACATTTAACGATGCCGTTGTTGCACATGCAGGTATTGCATTCGTGTTGCCAAGTTACGTTGTTCTCCAGGATATGGCTGTTCCACGGGCAGCTGCCTGGTGATGGTAGGAATGCTCTGTCGTCGACTGCAAAAAAAATGAGGATATGTTATTAAAGGTGTGAATATGATTTCCATCATAAATTATCACAACACAACAAAAAAATATTTTTTGAATGTTTCCTACACTAAATTAGTCAATTTCTACTAATTTTGGGGTGATAAAAACGAAAATAACAATGAAAAATTTTTATTAGCTCTGGTTTTTGAGATACACAGTACTTAATCTTAAAGAGTAGGTATACTATACGTGAAAAGTAAAAGTACATAAAACAATATTGTTATGTTTCTTTTAGAATATTTTAAGTACAAAATTAATAAAAAAAACATTATTCTTAGTGTTTTGACAAATAAAAGAAGTTTGTACCACCAAATTTCAATTAAGTCCATCTGATTCATTGTAAGATCACTGTCGTTTAGCTTGTCTTTTATAAAACACTTCTGGAGCATCCCTACACACAGACCAGCAGTAGTCTGCAAGCATTGCTTCATTCCAACGGCCCTGATATCTCTGTTCCATTAAGGCAATGTCTTGATGGAATCTTTCTCCATGGGAAGAAATTAAGATGAGAGTGAAGAAAATGAATTTTTAAGGACATGTTGCATCCAAGTTGGTGGTAAGCTTGAAGAAGCTCTTTAACCAATGCTGTGAAGTTATCATCTCTTTTGTTACCTAAAAACCCATGTACAACCACCTTAAAGGCTTCCCAGGCTCTTTTTTCATTTCCTGTTAACATCATGTCAAAAGCAGGATCATTTACGATTTCACGGATTTGAGGCCCAATAAAGATGCCTTCCTTGACTTTAGCATCACTCAACCTGGGAAACTTTGCTCTCAAGTACTTAAAAGCTTGTCCTTCCTGGTCCATGGCCTTCACAAAGTTTTTCATTAGTCCCAACTTAATATGTAATGGGGGAAGGAGAACATCCTTAGGATCTACAAGAGGCTCGTAAACTACATTTTTCTCATTAGGGTTTAGGTCTCGTGTAGGCCAGTTCATTTTTTTATAGTGAGATTTTCTATCTCGACTATCCCACAGACACAAAAAACAACAGTACTTGGTGAACCCTAATTGCATTCCTAGGAGTATAGCAATGACTTTCAGATCACCACAGATGTGCCACTTGTGTTGTTCATATTTGATTGATTGGAGAAGTGTTTTCATATTTATATACGTTTCCTTCATGTGAACTGCATGACCTATAGGAATAGAGGGTAGTTGATTTCCATTATGCAGAAGTACAGCTTTTAAGCTTAGTTTTGAAGAGTCTATAAACAGTCTCCATTCAGATGGAGTGTGATCCAAATTCAAGCAGTCCATCAAACCATTAACATCAGAACAAACTACGAGGTTTTCTTTTTTCTCAACAAAAAGGAAGCAAATCTTTTTGACGCTGTCTGTACTGAGATATTTTCACATCATGTTTTAGAAGATTCCACTGTTGTAGTCTTGACCCTAACAGCTCAGCCTTTTCCTTAGACAAGCGAAGATCTCTTATAAGGTCACTCAACTCTGCTTGACTAATTCTGTGCGGATCACTAGACCTATCGCTTACCTCAAAATCAGGGTCATAGGATGTAGAAGGATGGGTTGCTCCTTCTAAACAGTCTTCATCACCTTCCTCTAAAATTTCATAGTTTTGGGGTGGAGAAGGGACTGGCAAACTGTCTGAGTGTGGTACAGGCCGAAGAGCAGATGGGAGATTAGGGTATTTAACCGTTCCTCTTTTCTTCATAGATAAACCTTGCTTAATGGGAGAAGTTAAGCAGAAATAACAGTCGTCTGTATGATTGGTAGGCTCACGCCAAACCATAGGTACTGCAAAATCCATTGCCCGGTTTTTATTTTTCAGCCACTCTCGCAATATGACGGAACAAGAATTACAACATATATGAGGAGCCCATGATTTATCTTGGTCCCCAACTTTCACATCAAAATAATGTTCATAGGCCGTCTTAACGATAGCTGTCATTTTACGTTTCTGAGCCTTAAATGTTATTTCACCACATATATAGCAAAAGCTATCGACAGAATTCACACACTTTCAAGGCATTTCAGATCAGCAGTTAAATTAATTTAAAAATCAACTTCACACGATAATTTCAATAGCAACCACGTGCGTACAATTGACAAACTCACATAGGTTATGTTTACTACTTAAGAACAGCTGATGAGAGGGGTGTTATGTAAATAAACATGTGTACCAACTGTTGGTGATGAAATATTTCATTTGTCGAAAACTCAATATACATATATATATATAATATAATGATACTATATCTTGAAAACAAGAGCTAATATATAATTTTTATGGTCACTTTCGGTTTTAACACGTGGAAATACATTAAAATCATCTAATTTCAACCCCGAAACAAAAACTTTGTTGTGTTGTGTTATCATTGGTCAAATATGAACTCATTATATTCAATCTTACATAGTTATATTAAAAAACAAAAAAGTAAGGGAAAAATATTTTTAAAAACAAGCTTAGATTGAAGGCCATTGATAAGCTAATGTACACGTATTTAATTCATTGTTTTGCTAAAAACTTGTTAAATGTTTATGTTGAAGTAATGTTCACGTGTAAAGAAAAGTATATGCTATAAAAAGGGTGTGTTTTAAAATGCCAGGTATTGATGATGTAATTTGTTTCCCCTTGCAGAAGTCGAACAGTGAAACACTTACTATTACATCTCTTGCCCTTTCTTCCTGCAGGACAAATGCACTTGAAATCCCCGATGTCGTCGATGCAAGTGCCTCCGTATCCGCAAGGATTCGACGCACAGTCGTTGACATTTATTCTACAGTCTGGCCCTGTGAATCCCAGTGCGCACTCGCACAAAAACCAATTGACGCCATCGATGCACTTTCCGCCGTTGTAGCAAGGCTGCGGGCTGCAATCATTGACGTCGTCCTGGCAATGGTCTCCTTCAAAGCCATCCCTGCAAATGCACTGGTAGTAGTCGCCTGTGTTGACGCACGTTCCCCCGTTCAGGCAGGGGTTTGATCTGCACGCCGTTTGCTTGACGATGTGACATGTGGTACCTGCGAAGAAGAAGAAGCGTGAATGAGATTGTTCATGAAAAGCTCAGAAAAATAAACAATCGAAAGGAAGACTGGGAAGGAACTCTGGATTTAAAAAACCTCTTTAAATTCGTGAGGATGAAACCCATAAACACAGAGGTACCGTTATTGAAGAGATAGGTCGGGTTTAGAGAATCAAATATTTTCAGTGGAAATAACGGACCTCTGAGTCTTCTAGGAACCAGAGAGTACAGTGTGATACAAAACAGCAAATTTATCTGTAGCCAGAATTTTCAAAACTGATTGTTCTAGGTAGTTTGTCTCCTTCAATCAATGAGAAATTTGTTATGAGAAGTTGGTGGCGTGTCTGTGCAAGAAGATTTTTCCGCGCTAAGGGTGAGTGACAATTCTGATTATCAATTATTCTGTGACGTGAGTAGCAAGGTAGAAAAATTATGTCGAATCAATATCCCGGGCTTATATGAATATTTTTCGATTCACTAGACAGCTTATATGAAAAAAAGATATATGTTCGATACATAAATATTCTGGAATTTATGTCTCCGGAATCAGGATATAGAAAGTCGTAAATAGACGACTTATGCGTTTATGATTTTCATGAAAATCTGACCAATATAGTCTACTTGTTTTAATTTAGGTGGGTCGCTCCACTAGATACTGATAAAATCGCTGTTCGTGTGACGGTACAGTGTTGCGAATTCTATATCGTGATGATTGAATTGAGATTACACTCGGATAAAAAATTATTTTAGGTTATCTATGTTTGTTCACCCCAAATTAGGATTTATTCGCTGCGTGAATTTATTTGTGAATGAGTTAAATGAAGCACCAGAGCCCCAACGGTTCAATGAAAATGTATATTCTGTTATGTTTTAATAGTGAGAAAATAGAAGAACGTATGATCTTACAACTCAATCTACAGCTACTCTTTTCTTTTCTTTCAGGTCTATTTCTAGGCTCATGAAATCTAGAGTTAATAATGATTTACATTGATGTGAAGAAGAAACAAATCTGAAAACAACAACAAAAAAAATTCGGAAACATGTCACAATGCTGTTATGTCAATAATCGTCCAATCGTGTTTTGTGCAATAACTGACTTTAGTACTGGGAAAATATTTCGGAATTGACAACATTAATAATTTATCAAGTATATCTGAATTATATATAAATATGCACTATTGGCACCATCTAGCGGCGACGTCTGAAACAAAAACGCTTCTCAACATCCATCAGTGTATAGACATCTTAACGCAGCGCAGCTGGTAAGATACACTTATGGGTCCAAGATGGATGGAAGGGTCGCCGCGAGAGAGATTGGCCAAAGTTCGAGTTATTAAAATACTTTTTGAAAATACCCCTACCATCTATCATACAAAAACGGGTCAAACAGCCGGGGTGACATTTGCCACACCGAAGTCTTCAAGCCAAATAGATATTTTCAATATCTGATTTATTTTTTGCGTTTCAGCATCATTTGAATGAATTATACTCTTTAGTTACATTGATTTTTCATGTGATTATGTTTAAAATCTGTTTTTCCGTTAATCCGCTGTCGCCCCCCTACGAACGACAACTCTCAGAAGTTGAGAAAGTTGTGTATTTTATTATGTATTATGTATTTTATTTGAAAAAAAGCTGAAAAATTTGATCAGAATGGAATGAAGATTTTCATAAGAACTTCACTTTGAGAAAAAGCAGTGAAATATCAGTTTTTCTAAAATGGTTCGGTGCAATTCAACAACGAACATCAAGAATGAAAAAATATGTTTCAACTATGTTTGATGACTGGAAGAGGAGAACTACGTTTTACAAAAATATCGGATGTCAAATCAACGTTATCATGAAAACATTTTTTTTATTGTGAAGTTCGAAAGTTTCACACATTTGTGCATACTGAACTTTTTTCTCAAAATGAATTCAAGAAAATATCTCCTCAAATATTAGCATATTATTGAGAAAGTTCCTGTATAGTCATGAATAAATTATTATTGAATTGAAAATAACATTATTTCTTTCTCTGTTCACTTTAAACATATTTTGTTAATACTTTTTTTGGGGGAAATAAAAACGGAAAAATAAAGTTCTCACTACAAAGTTAGTTGAGCATATGTTTCACTCACAGTGAATTTAATCTTGTAACTTACCTTCCCAATCAGGAGGGCATCTGCAAACAAAAGTGTTCCCCAGATCTTGGCACGTCCCCCCGTTTTTGCAGGTAGTGTGGTCACAATGACTGTCTTTCAGAGAGCAAGTTTTCCCTTTCCATCCATTTTTACACTCGCATTCAAAATCGGCTATTAAATCGATGCAGGTTCCATTGTTTCGACATGGATTTGGCGAACAATCATCGGTATCTGATAACAAAGTATTTTGTTAAAAAAAGTATTCAAAACATGACGTATGTGGAAAGAATTAGAGCTATTCACAATTTGAGGTGAAAGTTTTAAAGTGAATTTCAGGTTTTCAAAACAGAAAAAGATTGTTTTCCGAAATGTCGACCACTTGAAGAGAGATGAATATAAATATTTAATTTTTATCAATTAGTTTTTCAATTTGTAGGCAAAAATTATGAATACGATAAATTACTGACTAATTGGACTCTTCAGTGGTTTGTATTACGCAGTAACTTTTCGGGGTGAACTTTTCAGTTTGCCCTTTATTACACTTCAGCAGATTCTCTGATGATTTATCTTTGTTTATTTTTCATATTGTGGAAGGTTATGTACCAAAAAACCCAATAAGAAGTATAAGTGTAAGAAAAATTTCTTTAAAAGAATATGAATGTTTTGTTTCTACGACTGTTTTGTAGATATAATACTTACTTATATTGCACAGAGCACCTTCCCATCCTTCAATGCATATACATTGGAAAGCGTTCACCTTGTCCACACAAGTTCCGCCATTTTCACAAGGGTTCACTTTGCAGTCATTGATGTCTACAAAAAAAAAAACATTTATTAGAATTCTGCAGATTCTGGAAAATTTATCTTTTCTGAATCAACTTAGAGGAAACTCTGTGTCAGAGATCACTGAATTGACCACATTTTGGAAATGAAGATCAAAGTTCAGACCTATTTTATGGAATGGCAGTTCTAGGTTTCCAGGTTTGATTTTGAAAAATACTGTAATTAGATAGCCAGCCTACATATAAACCAGTTGTATCTAATCATAAGAGATATTTCATAATAGATGTCACAATTTATTTATTTCGTGAACAATACAACCTCGATATTTAGAAAGATTCACAAGGTATTGAATAGATGAATAGAAAATATTGATTTAAAAAATTTATAATTGGCCAAAGTAAACATGTTATAAATTATAAGTGTTACCATGGAATAATGTGAAATTGAATATATTTTTTTAGAACTTCGTGCAGATGAAAGTCATTCCAGTATTTCAGTGGTATTCAAGTCAGTCATTTATAAGGAACTAGGACGAATTAACCAAATTTTATATTATATATGATTGGACTTTGATATGTATGTATATAGGATAATACAAATTTCCAGAAATATTTTTCTGGTTAAAAAAAATATTATTCAACAATTCTAATTGAAAACTGAGAAAAAACTTTATAGAGAATCAGTTATAAATGGTTCTAAGCTAAAATGAATGTTAATTTTCTAATACGTTTTGTGCTGAATAACAATTATCTGAATTTGCGAATGTGGATCTTATTTGTGTATGTCAGTACAATACTATTCATGAAGTTACTTGTTTGGATGTAGGGGTGAAACACTTTTATTGACCATTGTAGCATATTTGTTCCCTTCAATTAAATTAATAAGTTTAGAAAATTCACCATATACGTGGATTTTCCTGAGTTGTATGGTGCTTAAGCAATTATATGTAATATCAATTCTTAAATTGTCATTTAAGTTGGTAATAACTAGATTTTGAAAAGCTTTGAAAAATATTGTTGTAAATCATGCCCGAGAGAAAATAACGCCGGCCCCCACTGGTAGCCATAAACCAAGAGTGACGTGGCTAAAAGCGCGCGAGTGTACGATGATTCCCCGCCAATTGAGAAGCAGTGAGAATAATGCTACCGACTTTGACAGAACTTCGGAGAAAATTCGACAACATTCGATTACGATATTTAAAGTCTAGCTGCAAGCATATCGATACAGTCAAGTGAACGTTACACCGCGGTATGCGAAGTGATCTAATAAGGCGATAGACAGTCAAATAATAGTTGAAGTTTAGTGAAGTGAAGTAATAGTGAAGTTCAGACTATAGCCGAGAAAACTTCCTGATATTCATAGTTTTTGGGATTTGAAAGAAGAAAGGTCTGATATTACTAGTTTCACTAGTTCTCGCCCATATCTTCTCGTCCAAATCTGGCATTTGGGCTCTCGATTACTTCTCTGGAATTCAAACTGACTAGGAAGAAGTGTTTTTTGGGAAATTCAATGTTCGTCATATCGACATGATGTAACATGGGTAGAATTAACTCAACCCATTAACTCATTTCCTAACGCATGTTTGGACTAAACACTGAACCGTTCCATCAACTCATTCCATAACGAATGTTTGTACTACAAATCGAATAGGAAGAAGTGTTTTGGTACAATTCAATGTTCAATGAAAGCAGTTGTTTCAAAAGTATTTTTTCTTTTGTGTAATGTTTATATGAAAGTAGTTGTTTCGAGAAGGCTTTTTCTTCCAGTTTTTGTCTGAAACTCACTTCTTTGCATGATGTACATATCTTTGAGAATGGTGTATTTTGAAATTCATTTTTCTTCCTTTCTTCGAAAGCTGGAGGATTAAAAAGCCAAATCCTTTCTTACCCAATCATTATTCCCCCCTAAAAATATACCCCCTTGGAATTTAATTAACTAATATACTGTTGATGCAATTATATGTAGTTTTTTTTGCTAACGAGTCGGGACCAACTATTTAAGTTGACCTTCAATGTTATATGCAGGGCCGATGGACCCATTAGGCGACCGCCTAGTGAGCCAAATGTTTTAGGCAGCAAAACAAGAGGGAAACATGTGAAAACTTATATTTTCATTTACAAATATTTCAAGTTCAAATAAGAGTTTACGAAGATTTATACGAATCAACATATGAAATGAAACTATCACGAGATAAAAAACTCAACCTCAACAATCTGGCATCATTTCGGTTAATTCAATATTGCCGATTAACAGAATAGAAAAGTTTTCTTACTTTCATGGCAATATTTTCCGGTATACCCAGGTTGACACTGACACTTGTAACCAATGCCAGGTTGATTAATGCAATGACCATGTTCTCCACATAAACTTGGGGCTGAAGATCTGCTCCCTCCGACAGAAACAATGACGCAGCTATCTACACCTGTAATAAAAATAAAAATCAATATTCAACACATTGTTGCATAGAGATACCGCTCTTTTTCAAAATCCTTGCTAGGATGTTTGCAAACAATCGCACAGGCTATCCTCTCTCTCTCTCTCTCTCTCTCTCTCTCGACAAATAAATAACGAGGCGCTATTCTGAATCACCAATAACACCTACTTACAAAAGATGCTTGTTCCTTTTTGTATTCGTAATAAGTTATGAATAGAGATCTGATAAACAAGATATCTTTCATCGGCGGTATTGTATGAGTAGAGTTTTAATGACTTGCAATGTCGAGTGGATTTACACAAAAGAAAATATTCTATTCTCTTCTTCTGATTCTGCGCAATGTTTTGACGTGACCTTTCTGTTGGATTCATGCAATTAACGACAATGGGATTAGATGGTTAGATGGAAGCTGGTGTCGAGATGATTCTGGATTTTTTGTCTTTTGTTATATATTTTAGGTACAGGGTTTTAGATGCTATCGAGAAATGTCAAGTAATTAGGAATGGAGGACAGAAGTATTTGAAGTTATATACTTGGTTATGATCGAGGTCGATATTCGCCAAGTTGTATTACTCAAACAGCAGAGGATATTCAATTCACGTTGAATTACAAGTTATAATATTTGCTCACTTTCTTATGATACTCAAAACCATAGTTTGAGATCTTTTCCGATATTCCAGTTGTAGACACCTTTTCAATTTTGACATTATTCCATTTCTCAAAATTAGGTTGACCGTAGATGTTGTTTTCTGCTTGAAAACCGTCTGGATATTCAATTTCTGCGAAAGCTTCATAAGCTTATTGTGTTTTCCTCCCATTTTTTCTCAACATCCATTTCAACAATTTTGTCCTCAATATCAGTTTGTACAGATCCTTCGTAAGATGTTCGTAATATTGGCTAATTGCTTTGAAAGAAGCCATTGGATTGTTCCCCTCATGAACTATTATGAATTAGTATACCAGTTAATGTTTCTACAAACTGTCTTACAGCTTGTCTTACAAAAATGCGAATTTATTAAAAGGTAACCGTCTTATATATGTCACCCACTATAGGAAAATTACAATTGAGAAACACTGAGACCCACGGGCTGTTGCTCTTAATATTTTCTTTAGCCTCCAATAGTGTTTGGCATGAAGTTTAACTAACTGAATTTGATGTTATTGCTTGTCTTTGTATGTGGCTCCCCAGTTTTCTCGAATACCGTTCTATGCAAGATGCCATTGATACATCTACGTCAGATATCTTTACCATCAATGCCTGTATTTGCTGAGGATCCATTTCGTCTTCATACCTTTTTTTATTATACATCCATGATCTACGTCCGCGAATTCTCGCCTTGCTGACAACAACATGCTTGTTTCCTTTTCTATTTGAATGCTTGAAGTGACACTGACAAAGTAGAATTCAAAGCTACATAAAGTCAGTTTTTTCTGAGAATGAATATATGGCACAATCAAAAATCATGTCAAAGCACACTAGCTGCGAGAAATAATTTGTTGCGTATCAAATTGTCACTTTTCTAGAATAGCAAAAAACAAGCTTCTCAGAAACTTGGACCACTATTACGATCTTAAAAGTTGTACAACTTTGAATGCTTCATGAACTTCAAATTAGATCATCTTTGGAACACTGCTCACATATTTGGAGCTCAGCCCCTACGCAAATCCAAGTGCTACTAGATTCTATCCAGAAAAAAAATATTCGCCTGATTGGAAAACTCACCAGTAAACTTGAAGGTCTGAAAAATTGAAGAGAGGTTGAAGACTTGACCCCACCCAGAGCAATATATGTCTTAAGATTCAACTCAACACACCTTGAAATGCACTTTTTGAAACTCTCCCATTCAGAGAACAACACCCTGGTGAAATAAACCTCTCGAGACAGTTCGTCCAAATGAATATAGTCTTCAGCTTTTTCAAACCAACTTGACACTCTGTATCCTATTCATCAAAATTTCTGTTGAGCTGTAGTACGTCCAAATGAATATAGTCTTCAGCTTTTTCAAACCAACTTGAATCGCTACTTTGGCATAGGAACTGCTCTCGAAACTTTTCATGGATTTTCCGGCAATGCCTGTGCATCTCCAAAACAACAGATTACCTGAGGGTCTGAATCATAATTTGGACACTCTGTATCCTATTCATCAAAATTTTTAGTGAGCTGTAAGTACGTCAATTAGACGCGGTAATGCTGCGCTCAGAAGACAAGTAACGGACAGTGGACTGGTCCAGTTCGATTTCTGGCGCAGTCGGGGGCCCGAGACTCCCGCAGAGTCTTCTTCAGGTGTCTCGGAAACTACCTGTCAACTAGACGCGGTCTTCGAAGAGATTCATACCGGACTGTAGACCGCGGCCGCGTAAATTTCTAGCAGGCAGTTAAAATCGTTGATGAAACCGATTCTACAGGGTGCTAGACCAATTTCGGTTGAAGAAACTTAAGTGGTGTCCAACAAAGAATGATGAATCCAAAGGGAAATAATAACAAAGGAATTTACACAAAAATTCAAAAAAATAAAAAGAAATGAAACAAATATCTTAGTGTTTCTTGTAGAAGGTGAATAAGTGGATCGAGTTACTGTTTGGTACCAAAACATAATTCCAAATCTTGATGATGCTTCAATATTTGCAAAGAACGTAATTTTCAATAACTTTTCATTCAGATATTTACTCACTACTCTTAAACTACTGGATCTAGGTATTATTTATTTTTTTCGCTTACATGCTTGTATCATCATACACAATAATATTAATAAATCAATTCGAATATTCAAATTACAATTTCATTTCCAAATTATCCTTAGTAGAGTTCTTGTATGTGAAGTATCGGCTCGATGAATTATCTAACTTGTTTCTAGCAAAAAGATACCAAATTGAATATTAAAAAATAGATATAAGAGTTCATGCATGAAATATTGAATGGTATACGTGTATGATATAAAAAAATAGAGATAATAAATCATTAACGGTAGCCCTAATGTATTTATGGGGTCAAAATCATAATGTACAGAGACATCATTTACGTTTACAATAAGTATAATTGAACAGCCATACATTATTTACAGATGATTAATTTGTGAAGTGCATTGAAACAAGAATACAAAACTTAATTAGATTTCTGGATAAATCACTTAATATATTGAATATATTGAATGTCTTGAATTATTTTGAATGAACTGCTTCTTCAATATTATTTTTCTTGTTGTAAGTTTCAAAACATTAGTCTCAATCAGTTCTCTTCAACTGCCTCTTCATTCTCATAATTATCCAGTCTATCTTATATAAATATTATAACGAGGTGTAAATTTAGGCAAATCTTTCCAATAGTTTCAATTTTACTCTTCACTTCTTCTTTCTTCCTGCTTCTGTTTTGGCGAATTTTTCTCCTCCCTTGATTTTTTCTTTTAATTTTTTTAAAGATATCTGTATTTTTATATTTCTTTTACAAGTTATTACCATCATTTGGTTGTTTAATTTCACTTTTAGCGTTAGTTTCTGAACTTTTTCGTAGTGTAGGTGTTTGAATGAAAGAAGAAATATTATCGCATGCTTTTTTTAAGTTGCTTCTTGTGATTAAATTCAATGGTATTTCTCTCATTATAATAATAGTAATAAATAGGTTTATTAACGAATTTTTACAAAATTCAGGATCTTCACGAATGAATCTTAATTTAATTTATTCTTGTTAGGAGTCATTGAAAAACCATAGTTGCAAGAAATGGCCATTACCACATATATGATAGAATTTTAAGTGGGAAGAATTAATTTCGTCAAATAGGATTTGAAGTTAATATTTCGCATGTGCAATATCAATCAAAAACTTCATTAAGGAAATATCCTTTAAGATATTTTATGGATGGTGAAATAATTAAATTTTCAAATAAATTTGATGACTACCTTCACTATTAATTATGAATGAACATGGCTCGTAACTTCCACCAAATGGAGGTAGATAACCGAAATATTTTGAAGATTATTAATCCTTTCATTGCAGAACATTTATACTCCTAAAAATGTCAACTTTCACATCCGGAGATAATAAATCAAAGGTATTTTCCGGATTTTATGCATAACGTTTCGTCTACTACTGAGGTAGATATTACGAAAGGCGATAAGCTAATGGCCGAAATGTTCGGGTAGTTCTCAATTCAGAAACTAAGTACTGCAGTGGTAGTAATGTCCGCAGTGGTAGAAGAAACGTGAGGCATAAAAACTTGTAGACTACGACCAAAAAACCCGGAGAATAATAACAAAAATGATTTTTGTGTAACGATTTTTTTTTCATTGTTTTAGGGATTGAGCGAGAAAAATGCATTTTTGTTAATCTCAATCTATTTATCATATCTATAAATGAAATAATGTAGTGTGACGAACAATGGGTCTATATTAATAAATAATGATATTTGAATAGACATTTCATGAATGATATTTAGTTATTTAGTGCACAGTTTGAAGTGAAAAAGTATTTAGATTGTTGTTGTTATGGTAATGTTCTGTAACTACTGACTCAAAATAATAATATCCAGTAACAAATCAAAATGAAGCACATTAAACCAACTGTGCTATCTGAGGTTCTTATAAATTGCTTTAGGAATTGAATTCAGTGTGCTATCAATTTGCTACTTTAATTGAGATGTGAGTTATACTTAAGCGGTAGAAATACACTTATGATGAAAACCATGTCAAAATTGCTTGAAGCACATAATTCGAGATGAATAATAATAGTATAGATGAAACAATGTGTATGGTGAGTGGTAGGGCATCGGTGTTTTGTTGAGGGAGTACGTTGAACACGCATTATTAGCTCCATAACAAGTAGATCCTGAACCAGCTGTTGAGTACCAAAATATTTAGTACGGAATCAGATTGGGGGTGTGTCTATAGGAATCATAAAGGGAACTGAAGAACTTCTTCAACGAAGCAGGAATCAGCTCATGATAAATGAATATATTAGAAGCGTTGCACGGATATCAAGAACAATAAATGGTCTATTAAACCGCACTGAAAGAACTTCCCGACACGTATACTCATAAGTGAAACACTTGGTTTAACAGTGTTGCTGTTTTTCTTTCACCACGGCTAGTTACTGAAGTCGGCCATAGAAACTAGAGTTAAGTTCTATTGAGCAACAATCACCAACATGTCTAACCATCAAACTATTGTTGCGAAAGTTTGCACAGAAAATTATACGTCAGCTCGCCATATGATCAGGACTTGGTACCCATCAACTATTTCCTGATCTCTGATTTTAGAAAACTTTATTGCGAGGCATTTCAGTGTCAACGACGAAGCGAGATATGAGTTTTAAGTCTTCAAAGTTAGGTTAGGTCCAAAGTGAGTGGGTCTATTCCACCTTCCACCGCAACCCACATGGGTTTATTATGGCTCACACCTATTCACACTCCACCAAATAAACCCATTTTCTTAACGAAGCCGATTAGTTTGTATGGTGAGTGGTCTTTCAGGACGTATGGTAAGAGTACGGCTGATTCGGCCCCCGGCAGTGCAGGCATAAACAGAGGTGACACATACTGTCTTCCGACAGTCTGAGTCTCTGTATATGATGATTCAAATGGAAGTGACTTGTAATAAGGCCTGTTAGATATCGTAGTTTATGCCTACTGTAATCTAACAACTGCTTGGTATCAAGCTTCGAAGGGTGAATAAACAAATTGGAATGAGCCAATCGTGGAAGATTCTGCCATCATGGTGTTCAATCTTTGTTTGGCAGAGCCTGAATCGATGCCAATGACAGGTTCTGATTCGATGAAGCTGCTTGCAGCACCCTCCTTTGCAAGGGAGTCGGCAGCCTCATTGCCTTCCACGCCAGTATGGCCAGGAATCCAGACCAGAGACAATCTGTTAAGTCTGCCTATTAAGGAGAGTCGTTTTTGGCAATTTGCTACCAATTTAGTCGTTGCTCGGTAGGAGCCAAGAGCTTCCACCGCCGCTTGACTGTCCGAGAATATTTTATTGACTTGTGTATGAGGTTGGATTTTTCCAATCTCTCCGCACACAATTCAATGGCGTACATTTCCGTTTGAAATAGTCGCATAGGTTCCTAGGCATGTTGATATATCTGACCTAGCGCTTCAAGGACGTGGCGAAAGCGAATACAAAAACTCAGTGGCGTAACTGTTTCTACTTTACGTTATACCAAGATGTGTCTTAGCTTGACAAAGCTCAACGCTTATTATTCAAATTATGCAAATTCTGGATTTACTGATATCGTTATGCTACAGGCATCATCAAAAATTTTATTGACTAGTTTTGTAGTTTGCATCATGAAGAGATAAAGACTTAGAGTTACTGAAATTAAAAAAAAAAGTATATCACGAAAAATATGAAAATAATATTTGAAATGATAAAAATAATGAAAATTCTCGTCACGACCAGTATCTATAAGGGGTGGCTTGATTTCTCTTCATTTGATTACCTGTACTTGTTTGTGTACCTCGCAGGACAGGTAGCCAGACTTTATTGATGTTCATTGCCTCTTCTATTCTATTGAAGTAGAAAAGTAGAATTTTTTGTGTGCCTGGAAAATTGGCAATTTGACGTTCTGGATTATCTTACTATCCAAAACAAGCAATGTTCCCGAATACCAGAACTGCAACATTATTCTTGGTGCCTGTTTCACCAATGGGTAAAGTCAGCCTACTTCATCTCCTGAAGGCACCAACTTGGTTGGTGAAACGCTGGTGTTTGGGAACAGTGCTCCTATTGTATTTATTATACGACAGAGGTTCCGGTTCTAACTTTCATTTCCCTCCTACAGATTTCAAATACAATTTTGTAACATAAACTGAGCCTCGATTATCAACAGTAACGGTCAAATCAATCAAGTAACATATTGAATGATTTCGTGCGCCACCTTGTAATACTAAAAATATCCTTGATGAATTATTCAACAGAAAAAAAATTGAAAAACTTACCGTCGTCACACGGGGGATTATCACAAGAAATCCTCGCTTGGCTGCAGTTTTTTCCCTGCCAACCTTCCGGACAATGGCAATAGTAATCGGATTGAGTTTTGAAACAAGGTGCTCTGTTCTCACAAGGGTCCGGATTACAGTGGTCGTAGTCGTTCTGTACAGAAAAATTCCGAATTAGTGTTTAGTTTGTAGTAAATGAATAATTGAAACAAAGGCGTACAGAAAAATATTATTTGGGGGATTTTTTGGTGACTATAATTTTTTAGGAAGGGAAACATTCGGGAGTCAGCCCCTATCGAGGATTTTTGTGAATATTGTAATGACATTGTTCAAGAGAAAAAGAATTGAAACATTTCATTTAACTTTTTAATAAAAACAACTGAATTGTCAATGCTCTTTTCTATAGAGAAAGGGTCTCAAGTTTCATATCAACAAATACATATATACAGATATCCTCAAATATTTGGAGATCGTTACGATTTATTATTTGATGGATTTTTTAATAATGATACGGTTTGAAGTCAATGTAGACGTTACGATAATTGACAAAAAAATGGATATTCACATTTATATATTCCTTCACACATGTGAAATTATGCATACAACAAAGTTCTATATTTACTTTCATCTTTAGATATAACAATATGGTCATGTATTTGGCTATGAACTAAAAACAGTGGAAATCCAACATCTGATATTGTACAAAATTAAAATGATAAAATATTAGTACAGCGGACGATCACAATAATTTTTCGAAATACAATTTTGGTGGAGGTGCCAATGCCAAAGTTGGGTAGGTATATACATTATTTTTTCTTGAAAAGCATCTTTTTGATAGGTAAAATTCATGAATATTACATTTTATTGACCAATCAACTTTTTTCTTCAGGAGTTTGTATTATGTAGTACCTTAATAGGAATGCAATATAAATGCTTCAGTAGCTTTATTTGTAAGTTTCTTTTTTACACCTACATTTCTTTGTCTCTCCCAGAAATTTATCATAAACTCGCAATAGTAAATAATTAAATCTTTATGCCACTGCGCATTGTGATGACGGCGTTCTGTTTGCTCTTAATTTTTCATTTTGCCCCCGCTCCTTTAACATTCCTCAGAAGTTTATTAAAAATTAAAAATATCGAGAAAGAAAATTATTATCGATTTCATGGCTTGAAGAAATTAACATACTGTTTAAAAAAGAAACAGTAAATATTTCAAAACAAATTCATCAAATCATGTTTGATATTTACTTGTTTATATCTGTGAAGATCGTATCATTTGACAAACCAGAAGGTATTTGAAAGGTATGTCATATATCTGTATCTGTGAAGTTTGTACATTTCAAATTGATTGTAGTAGGAGTTATTTTTGTTAATAGGTACATTCCCTTTGCTCAAATTTTTTCATGCCTCAAGTTCGTTCATTTTTTTCATCTTTTGAAATATCATTTTATGTAATTTCATATTTCTCAGATGTTTTGCAGAGAAAATTGTCAACTTTATTTGGAAAAAATATTACCAAGATTCTCGTCTTGTATATCCCACTGAATGCGCCATTTTAAGGAACGATTGAGAAAGCTCTTCATTCATTCCCGATTATTCATTAAATCACTATTTACCAACATATCCAAGGACTCAAAGTCAAAATACTAATATAATTCAGATTCATTGAATATAATAATAGATGAAGTAGATATTTCAACTACACGATGAGCATAGCAAATTTAATCATGACGTAGAACTCTTTCCCAGAGGAAAATCTACCAAACTACGATAACGGAAGTATTAATTTATTTCTGATTAAAAATCAAGTTGATATCGATATAAATTTCATGAATATTTGGGCAAGAATGTAACCAAGTATTGAGTCTGAAATTCGTTAATCTGGTGTCTTTGAGATTTGGAAACAAAAGCAAAGCAATTAGAAAAGTTTTCGTATAATTAGTGAATGTTATGAAAAGGATTATAGACTAATATCAAATGTGGTCCTAAATAATAACTGGTTGAAAGTTGATGGGAATATTTTATCCTCACCGCAAATAAATATTGAATTGAGCTATATTTATTCATCCCATGAATTTTACTAAAGTATTCATGCTATGAAGCAACGATAAAGGACACAATTCTTGATAATCCACCACAGTTACAGATATCGTGCGGAGCAACTCAATTTTATTCATTTTGAGAGATGCATTATTCATGTGTCCGCCCACAACAACTTGTCTAAACGTCATGACATGACCACTGTATGTTACGAGGCTTTTGGAACAAAAATAATTTAACAGAACAGGTGCCGGATCTCATTCTGAATGAAGGTTGGCATGTTAATACTCCCTTTTTTTTTGGTGATAACATTTTTGAAACAGTGGCCAATATTTCAAATAATATTTAGTATAGGTTGTTTCGAAAGTTTTGTCCTACTATGGCGTGATATATAATGATCAATACTGCTGTTCTTTTTCTTCCAGATTATTATTCTTTGCCTCTTTGCAGCTTATTACTGTATGATGTCGTTAAGCGATTTTCGAACAATTTTTCTCTACGAATTCAAATTGAACCAAAGCGCTTCCGAAACAGCCTAAAAAATTACCCAGGCATTTGGCAATGATAGTGTTGATGAACTGTTTGACGTTGGTCTGCGAAATTTCGTTCCGGAGATTTTAGTCACCGAGTTGAGCCCCGAAATGGTGGACCTACATTAATCCAGGATGAGGATTTGAGAACCTTGGTGGAGACTGAAGACTGACCTATCACAATTGAGATGGCACAAGAACTGGGCGTCAGCTCCCATGCGGTTTTTGACGGTTTGAAACATATTGGAAAAGTGATAAAGCCCGATTCTTTTCTGGTGGACACCGATGAGCCACCTAGGGACATTCCAAAGGCGAAAACCCGCCAAAAAAAGATCATGGTTATGGTGGTCAGAGGCTGGTGTGATTTACTATAAGTTTCAGCAACCGGACCAAACCATCACAGCAGAGTTCTATTGTGAGGAAATCGACGAAATGTACCGAAAATTGCGTCAGCAGAAGAGGTCGCATTCTGCTGCATGACAACGCCCATCCGCATGGTTCACAAATCACCTATCGCCAACCGACTACCATCTTTTCAAGCAATCCGATAACTTTCTCACCGGTAGAACTTTAGAAACAACCTAATAACAAATTCGTTTTTATAGTTTATATCAGAAAGAAAACAAGTTTATCATGGATTTGAAAGTGAAATTTGAATAACACTGATTAAAATTTTTTAGTACTAGAGGTAGGTAGTTATTATATTTATGAAGGTTTTTGGTGCAATGGATCTAAATCCCTAACCACTGGATTTCGAAATGGTCTGAACTGGCAGGGCACACCATATTTGAGGTTATATTACATGGCGAATTGATGTTTTTCACAGAACTCATTTAAACACCTTGAAATTGAATTTTTCTTATTCGAAACACTTTTTGATTTTTCAGATAGCTTATTCCGATCTGGCGATTTGGTCGATTTAAATTTATAGGAATAATTTTTTTTGCAAATCCTTGAATGGAAAAATTAAAACCTCATTACCCTAAAATTCACAAATTAATTTTGCAATCTTCATAACCTTCACCCTATTGACCAAACACAATGAATCCAAATCAACTAATACCTCTTAACAAAAACGCCATAACCTAATAACCCTATAACCCATAACCTCATGACCATGGGAAATGGTGATGAAGGTGAGGAGTTATTGGTCAAGAATTTTGAGTTTTAGGTGTGTTTGGTATTGAAAGGTTTGCGATCATGAGAATTTGCATTATAGAATTTTGAATTGAAGGTTATTTAGTCCTATGATATGGAGATTGCGATTTAAAGTAATAGGTAATAATCAAAGATTATTATGTTTTGCAATCCAGAAAGTAAGGAAAATGTTTCATAATGAATTAAAAACTCACAATATCTTAAAATAAAGTTTAAAGGGTAGGTTGATGGTTTTAGGTTTAGAGATCGGCACAAAATGTCGTCGAGTCTCTGTTTGAGACAAAATTTTGCCGTTTGATAGAAACATTTCCATCAGACAAAAAATGGTACATATGCTGAATTCGAGGACATAAAAGTTTCAAATAGTGTTTTTTCAAGTTATTCAGAAAAAAACAAAATGTTTTTGAAATAAATGAAGGTTGGGGATATGATAAGGGATCAATCAGAAATCTACACGATAAATTTCATCAATAAATCAAAATTGATTGTTGCTAGATTTGATGCCGATTGGTTCGACTCAATAGTCATGTACCCATTTGCAGTTGCGAAATGGCCCACAAATCGTTCCTTGTAGCACACCCCATCTGAAACAGTGAGGTATGTTGGTACAGCTGTATTCAAATACCAGTTCAATTAGGGAACTGTAACACTCTCGCTTTTCACTCAAAACAACAGGTCAAACGGCCCGTTTTTGCGTCCCTAATGGCCAATTACGTAGTTACTAATAGGCATGTCTCGCTGTTTTCTATTAGGACGAGTCTATCATATAAATGATTTGTTGGCCCCGAGATGTAGGTAAACGCCGATCATTATACCATGAGAACTGCTGATTGCTCTTTATATACAGTTAAAATGACGGACATTAAGTTGATGTATTTGAACACATTCAAGAAGGTTCTACAACTAACTCAATAAAGCGAATGATAAAATGATTAAGATTGGATTTTTACGAGTGAGAACTAAGGAATTTGGTGGAGTATCTAAGCTATGCCTACTGAGAGTACTCTTTAGATTTCTTATTGAAGTTAATGAAAAAAAAACTACAAAACATTAAAAGAGATACTTGACCTATTTTTGACTTTAAGCTCGAAATTACAACTCGAAACTTGGAATTTCGGTTTCAAACTCGGATTTTAAACTTGTAGTTTCAGCATTGAACTTGAAATTCCGGAATTCGAATTCGGAACTGCAAATTTCAACTTTGAACTCAAATACATCTCATGAATACAGGGTGCTCGAGAATTATGGAAAGTTTCTATTCATATTACGGTAATAAACAAAAAGCTTATAGCTGGTAGGTAGAGACTGTTGGATGTTGATTGTTGATAAATTTGAGGATCATTCAGATGTTACAAGAGTTCAACAACTTTTGGAAATAAGGATGTTGGAAAAGTATTGTATATTTTTTCGGAATTTCAACCACTATTAAGTGAGTCTCATACACCTTGCACATTTCGGCACCGCCTACAAAATACTCAGCAGATATTTGACTTGAAGCGACTCAGTAATCAGCCATGGCCATTTTATCAGTTATATTCACATCAATCATACAAATATGTGAAATTTGAAATTTACTATAGAAACTGGAAAACATTACAAATTACTCAGGTAGATATTCGATTTTGTCTCATTCACAAATTTTTATGTTTTTATTAATTCTTTTCCTATGTTAATTGACGCAGTTACCGGAAAGTCACGGTTTTTTTTGACAAAATTTTTCACCTAGATATTGGCCGAAACATAGCGACGTCGAATTTTAACGTGTCGGGATTCTTCTAACAATATTCATTTGGCACTTACTTCACATTCGAGGCCGGTGATACCAACTGGACAAATGCACCTATAGCCATTCACTTGATCGACACATTCTCCGCCATTTTTACAAGGACTCGATCCGCAATCATCTATATCGGTATGGCAGTCCCTTCCTGAAATAAAAAATAACACTAACAATTCGAAAGATGTCATAATACATAATATTTTCAGTCTGGAGGTTATTAACACATCAGGGTGTGAACTTTTTCAAATAATAACTTTCCAAAAGCTCAAGTAGAGCAGAAAACACAAATATCAAGATACACGGACATATATTTATCCTATCAATTAATCAAGATACATACATTCATCCTAACAACTAACTCCGCTAAAATGCATTATTATTAACTCAAAAATCATAGCGTTCAGTTTACTTGGGGGATTTTTGCCGTCTCAAAATTCTGACGCTTAGATTGTCTCCTCAATGAAAAGCATTAGCTATTTAGCGCCCAATTTATCGCCGCCGATATTAACGATATTACTTTGAGTTCTGTTGCATATCTCCTTGCTAGTTTCATCAGTTAAATTGAAAGATGATACACATCCTCATACCAAGAAAATATAAATAAAAAACGTCGCCAACCGACCGATTTGATAATATAATTTAGCACGTTTTATGAAATGCTGATCAAACGAAGAGTTCCGAAGGGCTATCCAGCTATCAATACGAGTTTCAAAAAATTAAGTTCACACTACAAACGGCAGAGCAAGTTACATAACTCATTTGTCTGAACGATATGAATGAATATAGAGCACTATAATACTAAACGTCAGAAATGCATTCAATTCAGCATCAAGAACTGCGAAAGACAGATTTTCCACGGTACCGTTAAAATTTGTCCATGGGTATCCCGAATACAGATCATTAGAAATACAAGGAGGTGAAACCATTGTTCTTGGCCGACGTTGTGAAATACATTTTATATTAACAAACCTAGAAGGCTTGGTGGTGTAGCCACGAAGCAACTTATGTCCTCCTCAATAGCAGGATGTGCTATTGCATCAAATTTTTGAGCAGCAGAAGCAGAATCTGTACCAAGAGAGGAAAAAAACTATCCCTGAACAGGTCAACAAACGCTTATACGCAAAAGATAATTCACTCAAACCAGAGGTAAAAAGCTCTGCATGGTTGAATCGCATCATCAGGTTGCTGTGGAAAGGTTGCTGTGGTTGTTGAGGTGAAAATCTTGCACCTTGAACATCTGACACGTCAATAGCGACCAGTCAACTAGAATATCTTCAGCATGTCATAGGTATCATAGATAATATTCCAAAAAATAGTCCAGAGATACACATTTCGGCTTGGACTACTACAGGTTACCTAAGAGGATCAGAGGCGCATGCAGGCTGGTGGGCGCAGTTAGTACCCTGCAGCCTTGGAATGCATCACAGGAATCCTATTTACCAAGTCGAACATTTGTGTTGCTCAACTACCTAGATTAAGAAAAATGTACTATGGTCTGTCAACTTCGGATTGAATAAGTCTCCACAATGAAATTCAGTATCTTGGGTCCTGAATTTCATTGTGTTCAGGACCTTGGGTCCTGAATTTCACTATGTTGAGGACCTTGGGTTCTGAACTTCATTGTGTTCAGGGCTTTGGGTCCTGAATTTCATTGTGTTCAGGACCTTGGGTACTGAATTTCATTGTGTTCAGGACCTTGGGCCCTGAATTTCACTGTGTTAAGGACCTTGGGTCCTGAATTTCATCGTGTTCAGGACATTGGGCCATAAATTTCACTATGCTAAGGACCTTGGGTCCTGAACTTCATTGTGTTCAGGACTTTGGGTCCTGAATTTCATTGTGTTCAGGACCTCGGGTCCTGAATTTCATTGTGTTCAGGACCTTGGGCCCTGAATTTCAATGTCTTAAGGACCTTGGGTCCTGAAATTTATTGTGTTCAGGACCTTGGGCCCTGAATTTCACTATGTTAAGGACCTTGAGTTCTGAACTTCATTGTGTTAAGGACCTTGGGTCCTGAACTTCATTGTGTTCAGGACTTTGGGTCCTGAATTTCATTGTGTTCAGGACCTTGGGTCCTGAATTTCATTGGGTGGGTTTTAGCGTTGAGCAGAGTCCCATTCTTGCCAACTGATCTAGCTCACTCACCAAATAAAATAATCGTCATCGTTAGAAAGCTGGATCTGTTTATTCGAGTTTGGATAGGTTTGAGCTAAAGTAAATTCTGCAGGTTGCATCGGAGGGTCGGATGAACCTACTCACTTTGGATCTAGCTCCTACCTATCCTAACAATCCCACCTGAGGTTATTGAAAGAGGTCAAAGCGACTGAGCTATTGGTATATTTCTAAATGCAGTAAAGTGCCCTCTAAAACATTCGTGCAAATCGTGGAATAAGCGAGTGTCATTAAAACCGTTCTGACGTACAGAAACCCGGTTGTAAAGAAACCGAGTATATTGCCTGCCATTGAAAACGATGACTGTGAGCAACAGATGGAACTTTAAATTATGCCTACATGCGAACTTATCATTTAGCCAGACACGACTTCACGTAAACTGAATATTATACAATCATTATTGACACACCCTTCCGACTACCACACATCATTGTGATTTACGTAAGTTACTGAAGAAACAGCTGAATAAAGGTAGCGGTGTATATTTAGAAATTGCACATTCTTTGCATCGCATGAGTTGAATAGGTTATCATCGACAATTTCAACATGAAAATTCATTTTTGATAATATTTTCTGAAAATTACATATGAACTGAACAGATTCATGAGATTTATTGAGTCACCAGGGGCAGTCAGTACTCAAAAGTATAAAAACAACTGTCGCCATTTATTTATATTATACTACGAGTATTTCTATGAATTGCACCCAAGTGGCACATTGCACATGCATTATTGTAAAAGAAAATAACGATCATTTGTAAACAATTAACTGAATTCAAATTTTAAAAATTATGTATGTAATGTTATACTTTCCAAACCCAGATAATTTTGCTAAATCAAAAGTGATATAGACCAAACCTTTTTTAAACCATTTTTAAACTTATACAGTAAAGTTAAATGTCCGTATAGAACGAAACTGCAGTAATGTTGGTCACAAATAAAAGTGGTAAAAAACATATGAAGTTCCATAAAGTTTTCTTCATTATGATTTCCTACCACGTAGTAACGGTTACATCAATCAATTAATGCTTCCCTTGAGTTTGACGTTCGAATTATCGCACCTAGATGTCGCTTCGGTGGGGCTCACGAATGGTGCCAAGAAAAACTTTTTCAATTCACTGCAATAAGTGAAATGACAGAAAATATAAACAGGTGGGCATTCTACAAATATTTTTTTCTGCAGAGTGGAAAATAGAAATGAAACTTTGTATATTCGGACCATGTTTGAAACTCAGTTACCTTCAAGATATATTTATGAAGTACTCCATCTGATACAAAAAAATGGATGAGAGAATCTTCCAAAGAAAGGAAGGAAGTAATCAATTTGAAAATGAGTAACGCAATACATGAAAGTTACTTCTTTGCATGATCTACACATCCATGTATAGCGTTACTTATTTTCAAATTGATTACTTCCTTCCTTTCTTTGGAAGATTCTCTCATCCATTTTTTTTGTATCAGATGGAGTAGTAGAAAGCCAAAAACTTTCTTTCCCAAAAATTAATCACTCCTAAAAATATAACCCTTTCAATTCAAATATTTATGAAGGTTTTTGTATCCATGATAATAACTATATAATTTTCACAATAAATTAAGTAGCTATATCAGTTACTGGTTACAGGTAACGAGTCAGAGCATTCATGAAGGTTTTTGTATTTCCAACAACCAACATGTGTGTGTAGTATGTGACAAAAAAAACTGGTCGGAATAAATTTTGTACTCTATTTATTAGTTTCAGGTGTTATTAGTTTAGTTTAGGTGTTATTAGTTCAGTTTAGGTGTTATTAGTTTTTTTCAATGAAATTTCATGATTTGATCACTTACCAGTATATCCAGGCATACAGGCGCAATGATAATCATTTACGAGATCTATGCAGGTGGCGCCATGTTGACACTGTCCAACGCAATCATTGATGTTTTGGTCGCAGTTTTTTCCCATCCAGCCGACTCGACATTTGCAGTGGTAATCGCCTACTAGGTTGGTGCAGGAGATGGCATTGATGCAGGGATTATCAAGGCATTCGTCAGCATCTGTTAAAAAATAACTAACTGATAACAAATGATTATATGGTATGAAAAAAGTATATATAGAGCTTGTATGTAACTGTCAAAGCTTATTTTTTACTTGACGTTTTAAATGGAATCGCCTATTTTCACTCATGTTACGTGTCCTAAATACTGCCCGTTATCAACAGTTACTGAGAATATGTATATTCTTAAACAAAAAATATGTAGCTCACCAAATTGACAAACATTTCCTTCCCAGGAACTGGAACAATTGCATTTGAACGAATTTTCCATGTTGATGCATGAACCGCCATTTTGACAGGGAGCTGAAGCACACTCGTCGATATCTGGAATGAATTTTTTCATTTGAGAATTCCGATAAGGTGATATTTGTTATCTTCAAGTAAATTGATTATATACAGCAATGACAATATCATCATAGTTGTGATCTAAGAATAACATAATCAAAAATTTGTCCGAAACATGGGGAAAATAGTCACCACATTTGCAGATAATGCCGATGCTTCATCTCTATCAATTAATAAATAGTTTTTCTCTGTATTGATTTGAGGAATCATCAGAATTTCGAAATATTCTGGTTTTTCTGATCTCTTAAATGTTGAAGAGAACTATTACCTATATTTAGATATTTTTCTTACCAAAATAATGAATAATGTAATACGTCAACTTTTGAAGCTGATTCATGTGAGAAATATTAACAATCACGCGAAACTGACAATAACATCGAGTTTTACACAAGGATTGGTAATAACATGATTCATTGAAGTATATATTTCTGCAGTTAATATCGATATAAATAATTGAGCACTTGATTGTTATAAACAAACCTTTAAACCGCAATGAATAAGTTATTTTATAGGTGACATTAGAAATGAAAGGACTTTATTGACATGTATGGTGAAATTTATTGAATGACATATTTTTATATTACAACCATAGGTCGGACAGAGGTGATTCTATTGTATTAAAGCATTGTAGAATGAATTGACATATCAACTAGATTTTTGTGTCTGTTCATAAACAGAAACTCCTCGAAAATAAATATAATCAGAAAGCTAGAAAGTTATTTTCCTTGCCTTTTTCGATGAAAAAATCGCCTGGCTATAAGTTGAATACCATGAATCAGAATATAAAAAACAAAAATGCTGCAGATAGTATTTGGGATAGCCCAAAAACTTTTTCGAATTTTTTTTATTTCTAAAAACTAAAAGAAGAATGTTTCTCGAAAACGACCTGTATACATCTTTATTTCAAATATTTCATCGGAGGGTCG